TAAAAATAAAACGCGACAGGAATACCACACATCTGCCAATTTACAATTTGATTTTTTTTTTCGTTGGTCTTAATTTATATTTTTTTCTACTTTTCTATTTCTCTCTCTCTCTATCTCTTTTACACACATGTCTCATTGAACACACTGTTTTGATGAAGAATCGACAAAACTTTTTACTAAAGTTCAATTCATTAAGTTATTTAAATAGAAAAAATGAGTTAAAAAATGGCAAAATTCTTTAAAAAAAAAATTCTTTCTCTCCAGTGTATTTGCTGTCAAATCACTTGAGATTTGACAAACACACACACAGTATTTATTTTCACATATATGAAAAAAAATCGTTTCAATAATATTGAAGCTTTTGCTTATTATTTATTTTGACTATTTTGAATTTTTTTTTAATTTCCCATCAATCTGTGAGAAAAAAAAACGAGTAAAATAGTGAATAATCTGATTTGAAATTGCATTTGTTCAGTCATATAAAATTTTTGATTTTTTTTTCTGAAAATCCCATTGATCAAAAGTCAATGGGATAATTTTTTTTTGTTTGCTGGTCATCATCATCATTTTTTCTAATCAAAATTAATGATTTTTTTTTTTTTATTTTTATTTTTATTTCATTATTTATTTGGTGAAAAAAAAAGAAAACGGAAAAAATAATTGAATTTCCAATTTCAATCAAAATAATAACACAGCCAATAGAAGATTTATGACAGTGAAGCCTTCATTTCAGGGGCTAATTGTGTTGTTTGTTAGTAGTAGTTCATTGTGTCAATTGTCATATATACCTGTTTTTTCTATTTGTTTTGTTGAATTGAATTCCATAATTGCTCATTTTTATCTGTATTTGTGTGCGAGAGAAAGAATCATTGAAAAAAATGTGTTGATGGTCGTGGTGGACGATGACATGCAGAAAATTCCAGAAACAATGGCGGCTGACAATTTGAAAAAAATGAGCAATAGAAAAAAATGGATGCGTCACCATTTTTTCTTTTTTTTTTTCGATATTTTATTTTATTTTTATTTCCATTTTTTTTTTGATCCGACAATTTTGTTTTGTTTTTGCCCTCTAAAAATACACACACAAGACATTTTAGCTTTTGTATTTCACGTATGTTTGTGCTTGTGTTTAAATGTCAACCAAATATGTTTGAGTGAGTAGTATACACACACACACAATGAATACAATAAAGTAAAACTAAACATAAGTGAAGAATGTACCCAAAGACAAGCAATACATATGAGATGAATTTTTTTTTTTTTTTTAGCTTGTAATTCAACATTACATTCGTTTGTCTGGTACAAAGGGGAATGAAAATTATTTCGGTTCTGTCGTCGTCTTCATTGTCTTTAGCATCTTATTGTTGTTATCGGTTGTTAGTAGTATAGGTTTTCTGATTCTTTAAACGTCCATTTTATTTATTCGATCTATCCATGTTTTTTTTTCTGCTACTATTGACGACTACAACAAAGATGGCGATAAACGCGAATCGCAAGATTTTTTATTATTATTATTATAATATTTTTTTTTCTTTACTTAACTAAAGTTGCTGTCAAATTGTGTTTGTATTGAATATATCATGTTACATTTTCCTTATATTGAATATCGTGTATAGTTCATAGTAATTTTTTTTCCTTTTAGTATATTTGTTATTGTTGTAGTTTGTCCAAAAAAAAAGCAAAGACATTGTTATACACATCTATAGTTTCTATTTTTATTTTGATGTGTGTGTGTGTGTGTGTCAAATTGGTGTTCCAAAATTTACTCAGTCATTCATTCATTCATTCATTGGATAAAAGTAGAATGAACACGAATGTTTTTTTTTCCTCCCTTTTCATTTTTTTCTCTGTTCTTTTCACTAACCAATGCCATGTTTTCAGTTTGTCATTATCTATATCCATCTTCCATCTTTTATCATCAATTGATTTGGATTCATTTTTATATCTTGATTTGAATTGATGATGACGATTGTTCTAGCAGTTGTTGTCGTCGTCATCATCAATTTTATTTATTTGTCTTTACACATTTTTTGTCAATATTCGAAGCTTCAATTGTCTTCTAATTGAGAATTGACTTTTATTGCCAAATACTTTCGAATCAATGTTGCAAACTAGACTTCCTTTTTTTCTTGTCTTTACAATTCACACATAATATACAGATGTAGATAAAAAAAAATATTGCTAACCAATACCAATAAAGAGGTGTACTAACAAGATTTGAGATGAAATTGTAAATTAAATTTAATTGAATCAAGATTTTTATTTTTACATTTCTGCCTTTTTATTGGCATCCTTTTTTTTAGTTAAGCTTATTCATTTCATCATATCATGTATGTCTGGATTGATTGATTGATTGATTGATTAGTAAAGCAGTGTTCATACAAAAAGGAATTGAAAAAAAGTTTTGTTACTACTTGAATTCTTATTTTGTTGATAATCATCATCATCATCATCAACAACAACATGTCTATATTTCAATTCTTTATTGATTAACATTTTTTGCTATATCGTTGATTTAATTTCATTATTAGATTATATTTATCATTATCATGAGAATAGTCATCAGAATTGATATACCATAGCAATGTGTGTAAGTGTTTGTGTTTGTATGTGTGTGTGTGTATGTGTGTGTCTGAAACCATTCTACATTGTATGGTTCATTGGCCAGTTTTTTTTCATTTTCTTCCATCACACAGTTTGATTCTTGTTGTTGGAACATTTTCCATCAACATGTTCATGATGATGATGATGACCAATTTTTGTTGCTCAATGAATGTTGATTATAAATTTAATGAACACACACGCACCAAATAATGTGAGACATGTCCATTCACTCAGTCTCTTTCTGGTTGCTCGCTCACTCCGCTATTTCAAAATTGATTGAAGGGAATTTTTTTTTCTCGTTTCTTGTCTTTTTAGGAATCTATAATCTGAAATGTGTGTGTGTGTGTGTGTGTATGTTACATGTTCAATGTTCATCCTCTTGGATTGAGACTTTAATTTACTGTTCATGATCAGCCTTCTTAACAAACATTAGGGACCGGGTGCGATCCAAGTCAGTTTTCTGTGTGTTTGTATATGTGTGTGTGTCTATAAGTTCCAATTGGTGAACATCCATACTCATGTTTAGCTGAAGCATACATCCATCCATTGGGGAATTTGTGGCATTCAATCTAACGAAGCTTAGCGTTATTAGTATATTAGCGATATACACACATATAGCCTTCAGTCTTTATCATTCTTTTGTGGGTTATGTGTGTATGAAAAAAAAACTTTTAGAATGTTTATTATGGTATTAGAGGGAAAAAAAAGAGGACAAAAATAAAAGTGCACAATAACCGATCAGCAACAACTTGGATCATTGTAGATATGGTTACTTGCTTATTGTTTCTAACTAACTAATCATTTGTCATTTGACTTATGTGGATTCATCGATGTTTTATCATGTCTATGTATTAAGTATTTATATTCTATCTAATGTGTTAGTGAGAAAGAAAATAATGATGACGATGTTTTTGTTTGGATTCTTATACAATTTTTTTTTTTGAAATACAATGCAAAATAGAAATAAATAGATGGATGTACAGATTCTTTCTTTTTTTTCACTTATAAAAAACGTCTTGGGATTATTAATTCTTTTGTATTTCTTATTCCACATTTTTTTAATCATATTGGTTTGAATTGGCTTTAATTTCATTAGAAAAAAAAATCTTTTTCCTCACACACACACACACACACCCACACGTAGGTTGTTTTTATTATTCCAATTTCAATATATTGTATTTATTGAATAATTATATTGAAATGTCGTTCTTTTATTCAAAAGAAATATAAAAAAAATCACCGGCTTATTATAAATGTTTTTGATGTATTGTGTTTGCGTTTCTGTATATAGCCAATCACATTTGTTCTCAGGGAGAAAAAGTAAAAGAAATAAGCCAGAAAACTCGCGCTAAAGATTTGTCGGACTTTTTTTTTATCTGTCTGTCTTTGACTTTAACTTTTATTCTAGTTATATTTCTAATTAAAACTGTCATGTCATTCCAAGTTAGCCGCCTGTCGTATTGAATGAAAGATGCCAACTTACTACTGCCAACAATGAACAACAAAAGAAAGAATCAAACAAAACCCCCTTTTTTAGTTTTTTTCTTTTTTTTCTCTTTCAACCAACAGAAAAAAAGTTCTAATTTGATTCGCTATTCTCATTTGTGGCCGAACATCACATTCTCTCATTTTGCCCTTGTTTGCTACTATCTTTTTTTTTGATTCTGATTCCGTATCCATATTACATAAGACAAGAGAGTGGTTTATTTAAATTTTAAATGCTCATTTACCATTCTGTCATACTCATAGATTTGTTCTCATTTTTTTCCCTTCCCTTTTTTCTCTCGTTACTTTGGTCTGTTCCCATTTTGTTCATTGTGTGGGTCGACCGTTGATTAACTTTTTTTCCAACATTCTCTTCCTTCAGTTCTCTTTCATTTGGTCATCTCTAGATCAAAATATAATGAAACGAAAATGATTGCCTTGAATGAGAAAATGAAAAAAAGTTTTCATTCCCCTTGTGTGTTTTGTGATTTTTTCTTTTTTTTCCAACTTATCGCACCCCTTTTCTGGTGATTATGATGATAATTTAATATTATAGAGTGCTTAATGCTTTCATAAGGAAATATAGTAAATATAAATGGATTTAAAATCCGCATCTTTGTTGAATTAAAATTCAATGACCACTGTCCTATAACCGATCTAATGTTTGACAGCAAATGAATTATTCAAACAAATTTAAAAAGTTGAAAAAAAATTTCATCTTCAATTCAATATATTGATTTAATGTAATTTACCAGTGTTAGTAGTTTAAAATTATAGTAAAAACAACAGTTGATTTGAAATCATTTTGATTTACAAATTATAATTATTATCGCTTTAATAACAAAAAAATAACGAATTCCTTTCTTGCCATTTATTTTTTCTGTTCATCTTTTTATTCTTAATCATCATAGGTATAAGCGAATATCATGTGATTGAAGGTGATAGTATAAGTTTACCATGTAATATAACCAAACAGGAATGGAATCAAAATCTAATATCATTAATCGTATGGTATCGATCGAAAAATCAAGGCATACCAATATATTCGATCGATACACGGACACAACAACAACGTTTACGACATCAAATAATGCCTGAATTAAATGGCCGTGTTCATATGGATTTTCAAACCGATCCGCCAGTATTAAACATCAATGATGTTCAAATTGATGATGGTGGCGATTATCGTTGTCGTGTTGATTATCGAATGAATCGAACCAAACATTTTCTCATACATCTTAACGTGTCGGGTGAGTTTTTTTTTAATTTATTCCCATTTCATGTTGTTGAATATTTTTTAACTTTCGTTGTTTGTTTTCTTTCTGCTACAATCGAATAGCTCATTGAGCGTTTTCACACTTTTTTCCATTTTCATTCTATCGTTGTTGTTGTTCTTTTTGTTTGATTTTAATTGACGTCTAAAAGATATCAATTGAAAATCAATCATTTTGTTTCAATTGATATGGTTTTGGTTGAGAATTTCATCGTAGTACAAAAATAATACCAACATCGTATATATAATCAAAAGGGATTGTTGATTATTTATTTTTTTTGTTCATTCTGTCGTTTGTTTAGTTTCACTTTTTTTTTATTTTCGCTACGATTCGGAAATTTGGTTTTTTCTACATTTCAACTGATTGACTGAAACTATCTCAACAAATAGTTTAAATCATAGAGATGTTGTTTTGGCCTATTTCTATTTTCAAATGTCTGTGTGTAAATGTGTTTTTTTTTTTGCTGTTGTTGTAGCTTTTTTGTTTGATTTCAATTTCGTCGCTAACTTTGATTTATTAGTCAGAATTCTTATTGACTATATCAATGTGGATATTGCACAAGTATTCGAAAAAACAGTGGTAAAGTAATCTATCCACACATTGTAGTCAATACAATCTATTAGTTTGTCAATACATTGATGTATACTCGTATTCTTTATTCAACTACTTCATAGACATACACACACATATATATACACTAATCTTTGCTAATTCTATTGTACAAGGGTGAAACCTTGGAAAAATTCTGTCCATCCGTTGTTTTTGTCAAATCTCTCGAAGAATTGTGTAACAAATAACAAAAAAAAACTGTAACTTTATGTTATGAAAAAAAATGAAAATGAAAGACTTGATGTTGATTTTATTTTCTTTTTTTTTACTATTATTATTTCAATGAACAAAATGTTCATTGAAGAACATTGAAACAATATAATATTCCCTATCGAACCCAAGTACATTTTGTCATATTTATATCAACATCAAGGAGATTTTCTTTCATATTTTCTATTTATTTGATTGTCATAGGGTAATATATCGATTGTTGCCATTATTGACATTGTCAATGTATCATCTTAGGATATGTCTTTCCTTTCCATTCATTTTGATATTGTTTCACAAAAAATCGTAATAATTTTATACACAGGATTAAAAACAATGGTAGGCGGTAGATTAGGTTAGCAATTTTTTTATATTCTCTTTTTTTTCTTCTCTCACGCTTCAAAATAAAAAATGATATCTATATTAGAAAAAAACAAAAAAAACAAAATGAAAAAAAATGAAAAATGATTATATCAAGTGCATGAAAACCGGACTTAAAAAAAACAATTGAATAACATATTATTGAACAAATTTTCTTTATTTTTTTCTCAATTCTTTGTCTTCAAGATTATGATGATCAACCATGATGATGATGAGAAATGACCTTTCCTGGATTTTGATTTCCGTTAATTTATTCATTGAATTCTCATGTATTTTCTTTCTACACTCTATCTGTATTGGAATTTAGATAACAATTTCTTTTTTTTTATAGAATTCAAAAGAATTTCAGCCATATGTATGGTTATTATATATCCCCACCATAACAATAGCAATGAATGCCTTTTAAAATTTGAAAAATATTGAAAATATTCCTTGAAAAAAGTTTTCTTGCATGATGATGACGATGATGATGATGATGATGATGATGATAATGATTCACTTGGAATTTTTTACATAAGTTTTTTGATTCTTGTTTAGATGACGATGATCATGATGATGATGATGAGTCAAGTATATAGTTGAAATTTGCAAGTTTTTTTTCTGAATATTCTTACAAATATAAACTAACGATGTGATTTTACTAGTCGGTTTTTTTTCGACAATAAATATATGTGAATAAAATGAATTCATATTCATATATATAAATATGAGTCTATAGTTCTGATGATGATTATGATGATAATGATGGCGTGATGATCGATGTGTGTCGACAGTCGCTATTGCCGCCTCCATCATCATCATCATCATTGTACTTTCGATTTTTCCAATAGAATCTTTCTTTTCATTCACTCTTTTCTCTCTTTCTCTTGATCTATTGTGTTCATCATCATCATCATCATCATCATCGTCATTACCACCACGAAAACCTTTCAACTCTCAATCAATTTTTTTTTTGCTTTTTCTTTTTTTGCCTCTCATCATTCTTGATATATTTTTTTTCGATGGACTGGTATTCACCCTATTTAATTCATCCATTTGATTTTTTTTTTCTTTTTTGCCTCATCAAAAAGCAACAACAAAGAGAAACGATATTTTCGAAAGGACAATGAGAGAAAAAATTACGAAAAAATATAGTGTGTGTGTGTGTGTGTGTGTGTGTGTGTTTCTTCAAATTGATACCGATGGAAAAAAACTGGGACAACTAGAAAAAAAAGTTTGCATAGAAAATCAGATGGAATAACTAAACCACGTTTTTTTCCACGCGGTTTCAATTCAAGAACGCATTGGAGGAAAGGGAAATCGGATTTTTTTTTCACGATGTCCTTGACAAGACATGACATATGACGCTGCATCTATTTTTTTTTTTTGCTTATCATCACTGTTGTAAAGTTTATTTTTCTTACCCGATGAGTGTTTTAACCTTTTAGTATTACATGTGTTTGATTTATATATAAATGAAAAACTCAATAAAAATAATAATGCTTATTGTTTGATTTTTGAAAAACAATCGCTTCATGTGGTAGCAGAGCGTGGTTGATCGTTTTCTTTCACCCCTCTGGCTAATTGTTTTATTTTTTCATTTGTTTATTATTGAAAAAATATTATCTTAAATATTTGTGTTTGTCATGACAAAGCCATCGTCAACCAGCGGTAATGACATGGACGCAACCATGAAGAAATTTATGGAAATGTTCATATCTATGAATTCTTCACGATCATCATCCGAGTCCAACACAATCAGCGTTCCAAACATGTGGTAAGGAACATTTTCTTAAAAATGAACTTCCGACTGGCCATCCCGAATACTCTCTTTATCAGAGGTACTTTGGATTAATGAAATTTACATTTCAACCAAAGGTTCGGGATCATGTTGAACATCTGAAAACGGTGTTTCAACTATGGGATTATATGACTCGTTTCGAGAAAGATAATCGGGCTACAGCGGTAAGAAAATATATAAAGCTGGTTGGTACAAAGTATGAAGGTGGCGAACTTCGTCTTTGGCTTGAACAATTGACAGCTCGTTTTGAAGATGTCGAATCGGAGTGGCTACAAAACACTGAGAATTCTCGGTGCACCATCATCATCAGTATGTTACCACGACCAAAGTTCGAACGTCTGGCAGACAGACTGACGTCCAGAGATTCGTTGACAATGAAGGACATAATGAACGCATTCATCGAGGAGGACGAAAAAATGAAAACTGTTTCATCGAAACATGTGAGTAATCAGTCTGTCAATGCCATGAAGAAAAAATTCAACAAGAAATCATCTTCGTCATCAAAACGTAACGATGTGAAGTGTGATTACTGCAAAAGAAATGGTCATACTACTGATGATTGTCATAAACGTTTCTGGGATGAACATCATAAATCATCCACATCATCGTCATCCAGCCAATCAAATTCGAAACCATCGACATCATCATCTTCTGCATCATCAAAGTCATCAAATGCCGCATCTACCAGCAAACATTCGGCTAAGTCCGTTATTCTTAAAAATGTTTGTAACACAATAAGTGATTCATGGATCCTGGATTCAGGATCGACAACACATGTGACATTCAACGAATCAGTGCTGGTTAACGCCAAGTCCAAACGGTGTGAGTTTGAGGCCGCTGGCGGAGAACCAATTATCTCAACAAAAAACTGGTGATACTGTGATTCATCCAAATGACAATGAACTTATGCTAAAAAATGTTGCATGTGGTGATTTTAATGCAAACTTGATATCTGTGTCTCAACTTATGAGTGACGGTTATTCTGTGTTTTTTGATGGCCAATCGCCAGATAAAACAGCTTTCATCATCAAAAACCATGACATTAACATTGTGAATCCTATTGTGTCTGCTAATCAATCATCAGGTGTGTGGCTTCTTAAAAATCAACGCAAACAAACATGTTACAATCTGTGGCATTATCGTCTAGGCCATTGCGGCAAAAATATTCTAAATCAAATCGCCAAACAATCATCGTGTGTTAAAGTTGATAATGACAACTGTGATGCGTGTCTGAAAAATAAATCTGTGTCTGTGCCACATAAACAACCGATGATCTATGATGATGTGAACATTTTTGAATTTCTTCATGTTGACTTGTGGGAAAGCCCAGTGTTATCAGCGGGTGGAAGTAAATATGGTTTACTTGTGGTTGATCATCGTACACGTTTCTGTTTCGGTATTTCAATTCCGTCTAAATCTGATGCAACTGAAGCGTTAATTAATTTTATCACTGATCATCAACGTCGATACAAGAAAAATGGACGAAAAGTATGTTATATCAGATCTGATTGTGGTAAAGAGTTCGTCAATCATCAAATGGAAGAATTTTGCTCAGAAAATGGCATCAATCATCAAACTACTGTTGGCTACGCGCCACAGCAAAATGGAATCGTAGAAAGAATGAATAGAACTGTTTTTGGTACTGTTCGTACTCTTCTAAATTCAGCCAACATGGACCACAAATATTGGGCTGAAGCTATGTCTACTGCTATTTATCTGATAAACATTTGGGTTCGTGATTCTGGCTCATCTCCATTTGAATTGTTTTTCGGTCATAAACCATCCTACGGTCATTTGCATACGTTTGGATGTGTTGCTTATCATCATCAACCAAAACAAAAACGAACATCGAAACTCGATCCAACTTCAACAAAATTGGTATTCATCGGATATACAAATTCAAAAGTGAATTATCGTCTTCTTGATCCATCTGATGATAAAATAGTGATTACAAATGATGTGAAATTTTGTGAGAATGAGATGTATTTTAAATGTGACTCATCATCATCATCTAATGTCGATCAATCAACATCATCTTCATCTTCTTTTATCAATCCAAGATTTTTACATGATAACAGTTTAACAAGTGATAGTGATAGTGATAGTGATAGTGTTATTGACAATACTCATGATTCATCTACAGTTTCGATACCAGCTTCATTTTCACCATCATCTTCGTCAACACAAAACGATAACGGATCAACAAGTATTTTTTCTGATGTTGAAACACCATCTATCGATGATATTTCTGCGACTACAGATTCAGAATCAGTAGATCATCATATTTTACCACGTCGATCAAATCGAGAGAACAGGGGAGTTCCCCCGAACAGATTTGGTTACAAATGCGTGAATTCATATATCATACCATCAACCTACGATGAAGCTCTAAAATTACCAGATTCGAAACAATGGCTGGATGCTATAAATTGTGAAATTAATCAGTTGCAAAAATATTCTGTATTCAAAAAAGTGCCATTTGATAAATCCAAGAAGGTGATACCAACGAAATGGATCTTTACTAGAAAACGAACTGGTGCATACAAAGCAAGGCTTGTTGCTTGTGGTTATCGACAGATGTATGGTATTGATTACATGGAAACAGCTTCACCAACACCTGATCGATCTTTGACAAACATATTGCTGGCATGGGCCAAAACATTTAATCATAAAGTACGACAATTAGATGTACGAACGGCATTTTTAAATGCTGAATTATCTGAACCAGTTTATGTTCGTCCACCATCCGGTTTTGATAACAATGGTTTGCTGAAACTTGAAAAAGCTTTGTATGGTCTAAAGCAGAGTCCGTTGGCATGGTATAAAACCATATCAAATTATTTGTTGTCAATTGGCTTTGAGAAATGTGTTACCGATAAATGTCTATTCAAAAAAGGTGACGTCATTCTGTTGCTTTATGTTGATGATATCATCATGGTTGGTCCTAATGAATCTATGCTAAATTCGATCATCAATGAATTGGAAAATAAATTTGAAATCACTGATATTGGCAACATCGGTGACTATCTTGGAATTACTATCAAGGAATTTCCTGATAGGTTTGAATTGAATCAATCTAGTTATATCAACAAGGTGCTAGAAGAATTTAATATGGTGGATTGCAAACCATCTAAAGTTCCAATGTCTTTTCTTTATGAAACCATTGAGGATGAAGAAATTGACATGAATCTTCCCGTGCAGAAATTAATTGGGTGTCTTCTTTATATTGCCAATAGAACCAGACCTGACATTTGTTTCTCTGTCAACTGGCTTTCTCGATTTATGACGAAACCAACAGCCTCGTTGTTTAAAGCTTGCAAGAATATTTTACGTTATTTATCATCTACGATTAATAAAAATCTTGTTATCGGGTCGTTGGATTCAACACTGACCGTATACACTGATGCCAGCTTTGGTCAAGGTGTTTCTAAACGTTCAACTTCTGGTGTAATCGTCCGTTGTGGGATGTCGACTCTAACTTGGAGATGTTCAATTAGCAGATGGGTTAACTAAACCCTTTAGCAAAAATAATTTATGTATTTTCTTTGATTTTTGTTTTATGAATCATCGGGTAACAGGGGAGCATGTTGTAAAGTTTATTTTTCTTACCCGATGAGTGTTTTAACCTTTTAGTATTACATGTGTTTGATTTATATATAAATGAAAAACTCAATAAAAATAATAATGCTTATTGTTTGATTTTTGAAAAACAATCGCTTCAATCACCACCAACACACATTCATTATCATTGTCGTTTTATTATTTATCATATATATTCACAAGCAAATCTTGTGTTTGATTTTATTTTTCATCATCTGGTTTTTTTCATTTTTTTTCTTTACATTCTTTCTTTGCCTTGACAGCCATACCAAAAAATGTTACTATTCGTGATTTACTTGGTAACAAAGTCCAAGGACTAATTCGTAAGCCATACAATGAAGGCGACAAAGTTATACTATTCTGTGATGCTATTGGTGGTAAGTGATTTTATCATATCTTTTTACTTTTGTGGTTGTTGTTGTTGTTTGTTATTATTTTTTTTCTATATTTTTATTCGTTATATACACACAAACACTTTAATACTGGAAATTTTTGCTATTCGCATTTTTTTGTTTTGTTTTGTTCATATCATATAATATCATATTTTGGGGGGAGGGGAACTGTTTGTCAGAAATGTGTGTATGTGAATGCCACCGACTGTTAAAATATTATACAACAATATCTATTTCAGTTATTATTAATTGACAGAATTATTTGTTATTAATGGCCTTATTGTATCGACCCTATCTTGTTAGATTTGTTTTTTTTTCTCTGTTTCGTTTATTCAGCTATAACCCGAAAACTCTAAACAAACCATAACCAAAACCAAAAAAAAAAAACATACATACACACGTTATTTTTTTTTCTTTCTATAAGGTAATTTATTTCGATCGATGATTTCTATCCAAAGTTATAAATTAGAATGCCATGCATTCCCTTTTATCCATTTATATTTTTCATATATTTTTTTTGTTGTTGTTTGCCGCATAACTTTTTATTCATAGAAAATGAATCTCATAATAATAATGATGATGATGATGTATGTGGTTTTGTATGTGGGTATAGTGTGCATTTTTCTATACGCACACTGGAAAACTGTTCCTCCACACGCCATCCATTCATTCGTTTATTCATTCATTGTTGATAATAATAATAAGAATAAGAATAATCAATGAAAAAAAAGCACACTGAGAAACCGAAAACAATGTATATTAATAATAATAATGATGATGATAATATAGATCAGCAAAAACAACAACAACAGCAACATCAAATCTTTTGATTATTGAAAATCATCATCATCATTATTATATTTAAGAAAATTAAGAAATTTCAGTCACGTTTGATATATTATTAAAAAAAAAAAAAAAAAAAAAATAGAAAAGAAATCTGATCATCTTCACCCCCTCCTCCTCGCTGTTCCCTTTGATATAATCAACTTCTGTTTAATCAAATCTAAATAAATTAAAACGATTAATAAGAAATATAAAAAAAAAACTTTTATCAAGTTTATATATGGATATTCGATAGAATATAATTTCAACATTTCTATTGAGAATTGATTTCGATTTTCTTGGAAATTCTTGATTATGAGAGGATTTCTGTTTTGTTATCTTTGTATGGGTGTGGATGTATGTGAACTATGATAATCATATTGAATTTTTTTTCATATATTTGATATTTACATTTTTTTTTTAAAAAGGTTCGCCACCACCAGTTGTGATTTGGAAAAATAATGATGGAAAAATTATTGATGATTCATATGAATTTTTTAATACTAATGATGATAATCATACAAGAAATCGTTTGGAAATACCACAAATAGATCGAAATTATTTACTAAAAGAAATTATTTGTGAAGCCTATCCACCATCATTTATTTTGACACCATCATCATCTACTATTAATACATCTTTTGAATTGAAAACAGTTTCTGATTTCGCTACTGATATTATTGATGCTACTACTACTATTACTACTACAGCTACAACAACAATGACTACCTCGAAATCTTATGTCAGTCATAATACAATTCTTGATCTATCAAATAGAATTAATGATAATAGAAATCATAATCGTCACATTCATCACCATTCATTCATACGAAGAGCAACCATTGTACTCGATTTGAATTGTAAGTCATCCTTATTCCTTATTTTTCTTTTTTATTATTATTAGTTTCTATCGTTTCATATTGAACATGATATACATTTACTTGTTTTCTGTATATGTAGATCTATTTACCATAAGAATATATATGACATAGTAAACAGCTTTCTAGTAAAAAAAAATAAACTTCCGATGTTTTCCCCAATGATTCAAATATATCGTTATCGTTTTTTTTTATATATCATATTCGATTCTTGTATTTTGTGTCTGTTATGTGTTAGTTTAGTTCCCAAAATAGAATATATGAATCATTGCCATTGGCCCACTAGTGAATGAATATTATAGAGTTATCATTAGGAAAAAAATGAAATGATGGAAAATGCATAGACTGGAAGAAAAGGAGAAAAATTTGCAATTGGCCAAATGTAGTCAAAATGAAACAAAGGTGGTTTCATATGGTTCGTGATTGTACTTTTGTCAATATATTTTTGTGTTTGTTGTTGTAGTTGGTTATTATTTCCGAATATATGACGATAATATTGATATAAATGTTCCTTATTCAACAGAACACAAAAAAACCTACCAACTTAAATTGATAATTTAATTTACTAACTTTACATTCATGGCCAAAATCTCTATCTTCTCCATTTTTTTTTGTTCACAAACACGAACAACCGCAACCGCTACTATTCATCAATAATCTTCATCACTATGTTCACTGTTGTTCGTTATAATCTAAATTCTAAACAAAGAAAAAAAAAACAAGATATGAGATGCTTACTCGCTTTAATAGATTCAATTCTGAACAAAATTTTTTTTCCATTTCATCCATTGTCCATTTTTTCACATTCTTATTTGATTTCATTCTCTATTAAATTTGAAACCAAAAAAAAAGATATTGAAAAGAAGCGAATTCTTCAAAAAATACAGTATAGTTTTGTGAAAACAGAGTTTTTAGTATATTTGTATGTGTTTCTTAGAATATAAAGTTTGTTTCCCAAATCTGATGTCCCAAACTATGGTGTTTTTGACAACGACACGTGTGCAATTTATAACATTTTCCCAAACTCTTGCTGGTCACTCAAAAAAAAAAAATTATTATTTCTCAAGACAATAACAAGAAAAAAAACAAAAAACTTTTGATTTGACGGGGAATTGTTTCTTTTATTCTCGTTATTTGATGACAAAATGAAAGTTAGTGGACACATTTGTTAAATAAGATCAAATAAAGTTTTCAAACAATAGAATTAGAATTAGAAATTATATTCTCATATCAAAAGAGTGTAAATGTGCACACACACACACATTTAAGAATGAATGTGACTGCAAAGTTCAAATTATTAATATATCTTTTAATTAATTATTAATATATTATATTATCATATATATGATCATCATTTTGACTTTTTCAGAATCGTTTCAATTTGATTGATTAAAATAATCATAATAATCATTGATTCTATTGCTACATTTACTAACAATAATATCCCAATTATCTTTTATTATTTTTATTTTCTTCATTGATATTTTTTTTTCGTTATATGCATAACAGTGAGGCCATTATCTGTTCAAATTCAAGTGCCAGCCAATTTTCAGGCCAATTTGAATCGTTCTTCATTGCCCGGAACTTCATTATCATCACCATCATCATTGTATGTGTCTTTACCATCTGGTTTTGTACTGCCATCATCATCATCATCATCATCATTGTCAGCAATTGGTACAATAACAACAACATCAACAACGTTTGGTAATGTTTTGGTCTTGTCAGCCGGTAAAAAAACGGAAATTGAATGCCGTACATGGGGAAGTCGACCACCAGCTGAAATCACTTGGTGGAGAGGATCTAGACGTTTGCCAACAGCAGCTTCACGTTTGCATTTTACCAATGGAAATGGCAATACTGTTGTTAGTAGTTCATCATTTTCCTCCGATTTATATGCAACGGAATTACCAACTACATCATCGGAAATACAAACTTCAGCCAATCTATCCATCTCAATATTGACATACATAGCCGCACCCGAAGATGATGGTCAAAGGTTAACTTGTCGTGCCGATAATCTACATTTAGAACATGAAGAAATTGAAGATTCTGTCATCATTTCGGTTAGATGTATGTATCATTAACAGAAAACAAGGAATTTTTTTTTCGGTTCACAACACTATCATTATTCATTGTTGTTTTTTTTCTATTCGGTTGTTGTTGTTTAAACTGCTCAAAAAAAAAACTTGAAACGCTTTTGTTTGTCTACAAACATTACCGGTTTTGTCATGGATAACTTATTCTTGAATGAATGAATGCTAATTTTTCATTCATTCACTCATTTTCTGACTATGGAGAAAAATAGTTTTTACATTCTCAACTTTTAATTCATATAACATCAAAGCTGATGCTCTCTTTTTTTTCAAAGAGTATCACTATTCTCATTGTTCATGAATTCATTATTTAAAATTTATTATATTCCATTTCATTCTTTTTTTTTCTCATGATTCTTGCCGCACAAGTCGCGTGTCGATTTTTTTTCCGCATATAGTGTGGATATATTGCATAGTTTTCAGAATTTGATTTGAAAGAAATTTAGAAAGAAAGAAATTGGAGCTTCTCAAAATCATGAAATGGAAAAAAATTTGCTTTTATTGCTGTTTTTTTTTTGTTATATTTGGTAGAAGAAAAATTCACAACGTTTTATGTAAAATTCTTTGATGATGATATGCAAAATTGAGAATGAAAATTAAAAAAAAAATTTCTATCTGCTTCGATGGCAACAGTGGGTCGACTCGATCGAACAATTGTCAACCCTAAACAATCAGCTCTCATCATTTCACTCATAAATTATCAGTGTGTATAATGGGAAAAAATATTTTCAAATAATTTCTTTGAACTTGAAGTATTTTGAAACAGAGAATTATGAACATTAAATTGAATGAATAAATGAATGATGGTTATGATGATGATGGATCCGGTTAATAGTATCAGTTTACATAAACCAAGGAGAGAATTTTTTTCCCCAATAAACAGGTTTATGCTGATGGCAGAATTTTTTTTTTTTGTCTAAATATTTATTTCGTTTTTTTCGATGTCTAATACTAATCAATGTTTAGTGTGCTTATTCAGTATTTATTGAATAAACTTATTCATTTCAATGAATAAATGATGTATTTGCCAGTGTGTTTTTTGTTGTTGGAACATTCCATTTTTTTTCGCAAGCAGTGAAATTGATTTATTATTATTCTTGTCTGTCACATTAAATAATAGCCGCCATTTTTTCAGCCATTTGAGCACTGACACAATTCATTTTTTTTTGTTCTTTGTATCTGTATATTGAATATAATGGCCATTTTCTTTCTTTTTTTTTCTTAAGAAGTTATCTTTGATTTTACACTTCATTTCATTTTCAAATTTAATTCGCGATTGTAATTTATTTTTTTTTCTTCCTTAGTCGTGGTTGTCGGATCCTTTTTTTTTGCTTGTGATATCACGACCAACAGTAGATAAAGACAAGTTAGATTAAAGAATACATACATTTCTTCATTTTTTTCTATGCGGCGGATAGAGGGGACGATGTATTTTTTTTTTTTTTTTTTTGCTTTTGTATGTAGATTGTCAAAGTTGCCAATGTGAATTTAGCACTGATATAAGAACACTATCCACGAACTCATACATCATAAATTTATTTCACTCGTCTATTTTTGTGTATATTTGAGATGAAGATTATGCCACCATTTTTTTTTTGAATTAGCCCAGTTTGTTTTTTTTTTCTGCATTATTATTGTTCTCGCTTTCGCTTCATTTCTCTTATGTATATTTTTGTATGTGAAGAAATTCACACACACACACACATATCTATTCGATTATTTGAGAATTCATCTCATTAGAATATAAGTTCATTATTATTATATCATGGTGTCTATATATTGTGATGTAGGTCAACTAAGAACAAAAAAAAAAAACCAAAATGAAATAGAATGCATCACTGGAACAGATTCCAAATTCAAACACACACATACATACATAGACATTAATGGGCATCAATAATGTTTAAGCTATTATCGGTTTATGTTTTCTCCCCTCATTCGTATTGTATGTGTATGTGTATGCTACATGTTTCCATTTTTTCCTGTTTCCGGTGATAAGACTATACAATAATATGTTTGATGGAGATGATGATGATGATGATGATGAGTGAATGAAATTCTATTCTATTGTGAATTATAAATCAACAATAGTAATAATAATAAATGTCCGGAAAAAACTTTGTTGTTTCATTTTTGGCTCATGAGAAAAACAACAATAACAATCATTCGACCAACCAACCAACCAACCAAAAAAAAAAAACAAGCAAAAGCAATCAGATCAATATGTGGAATATGATAATAGAAATAAGGAAGAAAAAAATTCCGATTGAATTCCATACGAAATATTGATTTTGTAACAATAGAATTTGTGAAATAAAAAAAACTTGTTTCATTTGAATTTGTTTTTTTTGTTTTATTTTCATCATATTAACCAGATGCTCCACAATTGACGCTATCATTAGGAGCAAAGATACCTGAAAATATTCGCGAAGGTTCAGATGTTTATTTTGAATGTGCATCAAAATCAAATCCACCATTATCCGAAGTTGTATGGCTTTTTGAAGGCAAACCTTTAACCAATGATCCGGTCTCAGGTGTTTTGGTTACCAATCAATCATTAGTAATGCAACGAGTCCGTCGTGAACATCGTGGTAATTATCAATGTGCTGCATCAAATCCAGAAGGCATCTCGGCAAGCAATAAAGTGTTTCTCAACGTACACTGTAATGAATCTTTTCATATTTATATTATTTATATATTAATTATTTATATTATTACATGATGTTCATTATGATGATGAGAATGATGATTTATTCTCATTTTTTTAAATATAGTTGCTCCATTATGTAAACCAACACAGACCATAATTTATGGTGTTGCTCGTACCGAACAGATTCATGTATCATGTGAAGTTGAAGCCGAACCGGTAACACCAATACAATTTCGTTGGTTTTTCAACAACTCACTCGAAAGTTATGAACTATCTCGTAAAGATTATTCACTTGAAATACTTGCACCTAATTCATCGATTGAGAAGAGTAAAAAATTTTTCAACAATCCACATATTCTAAGTCAATTATCATTGGAAAATGTATTCAGTACAATTGCATCAATGAATCATCATGAAGAACCAAGCGTTGCTCGTAGTAATGCAACATATTCTCCACGTAGCCGTATCGGTTATGGTCTATTATATTGTATGGCAGAAAATTCTGTTGGCAATCAACGTGATCCATGCATTTTTAAAATTGTTGAAGCAGGTTTGTATTTCATTATTCACATTTATACACATAAACTTGGATATTCTCATTTGATTGACAATGTAGTTATTGATTTATTTATTTTATTATCAATTTACCTTTTGTGTTTCATCAAACAATTCAAATGCATTTGCTTTCCATAAATAATATCCATTTCTATTTGTTTTTATTATTATTATGGTTTGATTTACTTTTTTAAGATTGTTGATGCAATCTTGGTGATGAGAAAACGAGAGAGATAGATAGATCAAGAGTAATCATATATAAAATCATCTTATCTTATACACATATATAAATAAATGAAAAGAATGTGAATTATCTGAAGACAGCATTAATGTTTCATCATCAAATGTATTGCACATTATCATCATCAATGTGATATTTAATGTAGTTAATATATAAAATGTGTTATGTAACTTTAGCTTTTTTGATTCTGTGAGGAATATGAAACTGTTCACATGGTGCTGATGATGATGAGGACACTTAATTTTTTCACAAATTTTTCTCCCTCTTTTACACACCAAGATTCTCAATTCTATTTTATTCAACGAATACTTTTTATATTCATCCAAGGTAATGATGAATAATGGTTTCAACTCATTATGTACTCATACGAAAAGAGAAAAATTTTTTTTTTTTTGGAATGTTTTGTTTTGTTTTTTCTATTCATTTTTTTTACACCACTTAATAATATTCTGTTATGATGGATAAGAAGTAAAAAATGAGGATGATGATGATAGCCATAATCATCTGACATTATACTGCAATTTTTTTTTTCATTGAATAAAAGAGGAACATGCTCTATTAAATAGAATTATTCGAGAGGAATTCATTTCGTTATGCTTTAAAGTTACACAAACACCAACCATACACACACATAGACGCCAGTTTATCGATCATTGTTCATGAATACATCATGCTTTTTTCACTTTCTCATTACACTAGTTTCATCACTAATTCATGCATCGATTATATTCATCCATCCTGGATTGTTATGGTTATACAAAGACAAACTGTATAAAATGCAATTTTTTGGCTTGATTTTTTCGGTACTTTTTTTTTCTTTTACCACTTTATTTTGGCTTTTCTTTTCACACACATATATTCTCATATCGTTGTTAGCAAACCAAACGTTTTTTTAAACAATTCTTGTTGTGTTTTGAGTGGAAATGTATATATATGTGTGTGTGTGTGTGTGTTTGTTTGTGTTCAAAAATGTTTCTAAACTCATAGCACTTGAATTCTTGTCGCCGGTCGTTTGATCATCCGGGTATTGTATTTTTGATAGCGTGAATTACAAAATCAATAACTCTCTCATCATACATTTGCTCTCATGCTCATTTTCTTTATGGTTTTTTTTTCTTTTGAACCATGTAAAAAAATGAAATAAAATGAAATGAAAAGTATAAAAAAAAATCCTTGAATGTTATCTTTTTTTCATATTTTTCTTTTTCCGTTTATATTTATACACATTTTTTTTTGTTGAGTGCAATCGAATTTGGTCTTGTTTCATTTTTTTTTATGTTTTTGTTTTAAACAAAAAATGATTATAGATTTTCAATTCTACGAAAAAAAATTGTCTGAAATTATTCGCTAGAGTGAAACACAGACATCTTTTATTATTATTATCATTTTTTTTATGATGATTAAACAAACTAAAGATTTTCTCATTTTTTTTCTTTTTCATTCTCAATCATCATTATATTAAAATATTTTTCGTTATTTTTAGGCCCACCAAATTCGGTTCATGATTGTCGTATTGTCAATGTTACAATGGCATCATTCATACTGGAATGTGTACCCGGCGAAAACGGTGGATTACGACAAATATTCCATCTAGAAGTCTATAATATTGGTTCGTATTTTTTTTTTACTTTATATTTGTTGTATGTTGTATTCATCACAATTCTTGTTGACTAATTCGTTCATATTTTTTTTTGTTTGGTCAAAAAAAAGAAAAAGAACATTTACAAGTAAATGTGACAGCTCGTGAAGAACCAGTGTTTGCTGTTGAAAATCTTCCACATGATACGGCATTTATGTTGAATGTATTCAGTTCAAATGCCAAAGGACGGAGCGATTCAGTAACGTTACGTACAGCAACCAGTGCATATGCGGCCAAACATACTACCAATGGTAAAAGTGAGTATAAATTTTTTTTTTTTTAAATTTGATTTGATTTAGCATATCGTATACGATATTGATAAACTTTCAAGAATCGGAAAAAAATCGAATTCGTCATTTCGAATGTCATTCTTTCATCTCATTTTTTGTTCGGTCGTTTGTTGTCTGCCATTGTTTGTATTTTTTGTTATCTTTTTTCAGTCCCATGTTTGGCTCTATCCATTTCTCATTCACAATCTTTGATTTGTTTATAAGCCTTAATTCAGACACTTAGAATAATTTTTTTTATTTGTTTACTATTTTTGTCACGTTTATTTACAAACGATGATCGTGTTTCTTTTGTGATTATTTTCTTTTATATATCATTGTTGTGGTTAAATTGGTCAATTTGGTTGATTCATACCAGCTGGGCTTTTTTGTTCGAATTTATGCATGTGTGTGTATGAATGTTATTGGATTGTTGTTGTTGTTGTTGTTGTTGCATGTTTACCAATATTTAACAAACAAATCCTATCCTATATTATCGTATTTAAACTAATATAGCATCAATGATGGACAACTAGAAAAATAATCTGTTCAATTTATTTATTTTTTGCTTAAAATAGAGCAAAGAGCCATCATATTAGATGATATCAATCATTTGATCATCAATCCAATATTTGGTGCATTGATTGTGGCCTTAATTTCATTGGTTCTATTATGTTTAGCAACAATGGTCTTTATACGAAGTCGATTCTGTTCAAATGCTCATCAATCCTCTTCATCTAGTGATCATCGAAGAGGTAATGTAAAGATGAATGATTTTAAGGTTTATTTTCTAATAAAATTAATTCAGACACAAAACATTCGGCCAATAATAATGGAGAAAGTAGTGATTCGAAAAAAATTTGTACATCTCATAAACATAAGGATAATGAAAAATTCGTATCTTTATCTCATTCGCCAACGCTGCCTTCAACATCGATGAATCAATTTCTTATCAGTTCACCATATTCATCCGAATCTCCAATGAATCAGACAGCTACATTTTTTGAATATCAAACACATGGCATGAATGGATCGAATGTTAATCTACAAGAAAGCAATTCTACGCCGATGGCAGAAATTTCTTCAGTGATAAACAAGCCGCAATCAAATCCTTATTATATGACAACTTCGGCTAATACAGAATTTATACCACAATCTTTGATACATAATCCCCGATATTCAACGGGTTCAAGTGACCTTATGACCAATGCTTTCACTTATAATGTTGCTACGACCGGTACAAATGCAATTTATCCTATTGCTAATGATATTGTTAAAATTAGCTCGATTACCTGTCCATATAATCAAACAATCACAACAGCTTCACGACGTGTGCCTCTGTTAAGACCGATCGCTATCGAAAGTATATCTTCATCAACATCAGACAGAACAATTGATGACGAATGGACCCATTCGAAAAATGATAATACATTAATACAATCAACTAATAGTATTATCGTACAGAGAAATACTCCACAATTAGCTCAATTTACGGTACCACCATGATTTACATGGGTAATGTTTCGCAAAACGAAAATTGTTGCCCTTTCTTGGTAACAACACATATGAATCTATTGTTGTATATTATATTTTGACTTTGAACGGATAAGAGCCGAATCATGAGAAAACACTTGAGATATAAAGAGATTTTATCGTAATGATCATTAAGAGTTGATTATATTGGCTGAAGTTGATTGATTATGGGAAAAATAAATTTGTTTATTGGCAATGAAAAATGAATGGTTTTATTTTTTTAGTATAAAAGATGCAACAATTTCACAGTATCATCATCCAATTGTTCTTCTTCCTTTTCTTCTTTGCCAAAATAACGACCGAAAAACAACCAAAACAATCAAAATGATCAAATTTTTGTGCATCTTTGCTCTCACTTTTGCTGTCGCTTCAGCTGGCAAAATGAAATTCGTCGACTGCGGTAAGTAAAAAAATTTGCTCAAAATTAATGAAATTTATTCATTTACTCACTTCTTTTTTTCATGAATAATTTTTCTGTATTAGGACACAAAGAAGTAATTTCACTCGATGTCTCTGGTTGCGAAGGCGATTATTGTGTTCTTCATAAAGGCAAAACCATCGATTTGGATATGAAATGTAAATCAAACCAAGATTCAGAACATCTTAAATTAATCATCTCTGCCGATGTCAATGGAATCGAAATCGAAGTTCCCGGATTCGATCAAGATGGTTGCCACTATGTCCAATGTCCAATTCACAAAGGTCAAGATTATGATATCAAATACAGTTACAATGTTCCAGCAGTTCTGCCAAACATCAAAGGCACCCTTACAGCTAAAGTCATCGGTGATAATGGTTTAGTTGGCTGTTTGAAACTTAATGGTGAAATCGCCGATTAAATATTTCTGTAATTAAATTTTTTATTGGTCATTTCAATAAAGTGATTATTTGATGATAAAAAATGTAATTGGAATTTTTTTTCGTACAAACAAAATCATATTACAAAATTGATTAGGGTGAATCGTTAAAATCAAGCAATTGGATTAATTGATGGATAAAACAAACAAGCTGTTCGAAGTTTTTAATATTTGATTTCTGACATTCATTTTTCAGCTCATTCAAATTTTTCTTGATTTGTGAATTAATATCGCAATTTCGATTGTTTGGATGAGCTTCAATAAAAGTATTTTTGATTTTTTTGATTAATCTATCCATTCGTGAACTTTCTGGCCATGAACAATTGTCGGTATTTGTGATTGTAGCATTTCCATCATCATCATCATCATCATTTTCTTCATCCGATGATAATAGCGTTAATAAAGGATACTGACTGAATTGACTCATTAATGCTAAACAACGTAAACGAATTTGAAGATTTCGATTCCAAAGATAACGGATCACAGAGCAAATGAAATCTTGGTGTATGATAAATTTTTCTCGTAAATCAAAACGTTCATGACCGGAAAATATTTCTGTAAGCACCTCCAAGGTTTGACGCTTAGTTACATAGTCTTCTGTTAATTCTGCATGTTCTAACAATTTAATCAATGAATCGAAAAATTTATCACTGTTCGCCAACAGAATTTCGGTCGTAGATTTTTTATGTTTAGACATGAGTGTCTTGAATGTATAGAAAACATCCATTGCCACATCGAATGGATAATCACTTGATGATTGTCTCATGTATTCAAAAAAATTATGGAAATAATCGGATTGTAAAATTTTGAAAATGATCGGCTCGAACTGTACAGCGAAACGTAAAATACAGCCTATAATTATTGAAAAATAAAATAAAATCATCAATCATATATTGTAAATACAACACACATACCGCAATTTAATGTAACGTCACTTTTTCCATGTTCATAACTTTTCACTAATGAACACAATATTTGATTGGAAGGATCACAAAAGTATTCGACGATTATTTTATTTTTTTTCAAATCAATCGTTAAAGAATTTGTTAAAATGACTCTGGCCAGTTTTTTCTCCTCAAAACCAATATTTGGTATAGAATCGACCAATAAATTTAATATATTGCTTTCAATAAGTTTATGAATGGAATTTTCAATTATATTTTCAATATAAATGGATTCATTTGCTATCAATGTAGGATCTTTTTCGTTGAAGCCATTTAATAATTGTGAAGATGATCGCTTACTACGAAACAATTGTCCACCATCTACAAATGATGAATAATGACGACGAAGTTTAGACTTTTGTTTTTCGCCATTGTTGTTTGTCGCAAAATCTTTTGCTTCCAGGTTGTTGATGTTTGTGGAATGGAGTGCTTTCGTAAATTCACACATTTCAATTAATGTAACTATGCAAGCATTCAAAGATTCTAAAGCTTTTAATAATGAGACATCGTTCTTGTCAATTTGATCGACACAAGTGATCATATTTAATAAGCGTACATTACGATCAAGAATTTCAGCCAGATGTTTCCCGAAATCATTGTTTAACTTATAATTGGTTCCAACATGATAATAAAATCGAAAAGAATGAAGACTAGTTGAAAGGTTGAGTGGACTATGGCCGTCCAATGAAATTTGTTTTAACAAACGCATGTTTTAGTTGATTGATGTTCCAAAAAGATACGAAATCAAGTTCAATCGATTCCCATTCAGTAGATGATTCGAAAAAAAATCACAAAATGTCATTCTATCCAGTCAGAAGTTTGAGAGCGGATTCATATTTCATTATCTTTTTATTATTACTAATAATATAATGATTGACAAAAGAAAGTGAAACAAAAATATTCATCTCATCGATTTTTGGTAAAATGCTGAATGCGAACGAAGAAACAATTGTTGTTAAATTAACCACATAAAGGATAAAGTATCAAAACAAAAGTCTACGTGAATTTTTCTTGGTTACTCAAATCACTCAAATGGATGCATAAGACACATTATAAAAAAAATAAAACGTTGAAAAATGTGAGAGTAACAGGTGAGCATATCATTGTTGTTGATATTTTTTGGAAATTGTCGTTTGGCAAGATCGTTTGAAGCAAGTTACCTGAGAGAAATCGTAAAAGGTAAAACAAGCGAGGGAAGTTGTTTAATAGGAAAAGTGAAAGCCAAAAGTAGAAAGTGAGAGAAAATAAAATGATTTATTCATTGTAACAAAGACGAAGGCAGATTTGAATTTCACACTTTAATGAATATGAAATGGTGTGTGAAAGCATGTGATGATGTCGGATACATTCATCAAATTAACTTGGACTATCCGACTACCAATCCAATAAATGGACGTTGTATCGACGTATTCAAATTTACGAAATCCTCATTGATCATAAAATTTTTGTCTCTTTTGTCAACTTTTTTTCTCTATTTTTATTTGCTGATCTTCGAAACGAAGTAAATACAAGAGAACAAATCCAAATATACGGATTATCATGTTTGTTTGACATTCTAATTGATTGATAGCTATGTTTGGTTGGTTGATGACGAATTGAATAGTACATGATAATCATGAGACAAATAAATGGGATTTAGGTCGCACTATGAACAAACAATCATGACGAAATATTTCTTTGATCAATCAAAATTATCTTGAGCAATTTTGTTTGCTGTGGAGAAAATCATTTTTTTTTTTGCTCAAAGAGTCTCCAAAGAGTTCCTATCAATATTTATCAATCGAAGTTCCTTATTTAGCCTAAAATAATGATTATTACTATTACAAAAGCTATTCGATTCCTCAAGCAAAATACAATTCACTTTGATCCACTTTCTAGTTGAATCCAAAATATTTGAATTATTTCATATTCTTTAATGACACTCATATAGTTTATATTCATCGAAAATTAATCATCCGATTAGATTTCATTATCACCTCTATTATTTATTATTTGGAATGATGCCAAAATGAATATGAATTATTATTTATAGTCTCTACATTCTTATCTAAACTATTTTCCAAAATAGATGTCAATTAAAATTAATTGTAAGGGAAAAATTGTTTTATTGTAGTATATCAATCAGAAATACTTTATTTGATTATCATTTAGCTATTATCATCATCTATTCAATAGATTTATATTTATATTGGACATTTGTACTTGATTAGAAAAATCAATTAGGCCAAGGAATAAACACTCGACTCTGATTTAAATGATAAGCATCAAGGATTGGGAAAAAGCGATATTATGAAAGCCAGATTTTGCCATCTAATGGTTTTTTGAAAATTATTTGTTTTTCAATTTAATAATTTGCAAACAAAGAATTTATATACAAAAAATATAATGAAATATAAGAGTATTTGACCAAGGAATAATTTGTTAAATTTGATATTTATATAATAATAATAATTTCATGCCAGAATATGGGTTTGAAAATAAATCCATTTTTAATAAATAAAATATCAGTTCTACTACAATTCAAATCTTGCGAATTTCAACGAGTGATCATGTCCTTGTACTATTAGTGTAGAAAGAAATGAATTTACACAACGAGGTCCAGAGTATGCTTCAATACTTTCGTTATTGGCTAGTTGTTCATATTTTACGTATGCATCAGAAATCACATCAAAACCACATTGTAGATCATAAATTTGTCTTAGTAGCAAAGTTTTTGAATAGAATTCTTTTTCATTCTCTAACTTTTGTTGTTTCATCAAATTTTCAGCCAGATTCACGTTTATGTGTTCCTCCAAATTACGGATCCAATTTCGGCAGAGGAAGAATGGACCATTAGTGGCCAAACTTAATATAAAAAATGGCCATCGCCTAGGATAATTATGAGGAATGATGATGTAGGCATTCCATTCGTTTAAATTGGATTCTTGAATAGATGAACAATCTAATGGCTCGCATCTGAGAATCAATTTGTAAATAAAATTATTTTGATCAAAAAGATCATTACAAAATGCATTACGATCATCGACATCTTGTTCAAAGTATTCGATAAGATTTTTCTTTTGATATGAATCTAGTCCGTTGATCAATTCATCACCAGTAATTCTATCGAAAGATTGAATAAAACATCTGGGCTTCGAGAATATTAAATTCTGACCATTTGAAACAATTGAATTATTAAATAAACTCGCGTCAATACATTTGTTAACGCGTATATGATCAAGTTGTTTTTGCAAATCGATTCTTGATTGAAAACGATACATCATAGTTCTGACCGTTTTATCCAAGCAGTCTATCGCTATAGACGACTTAACACGTATAATACCGCTATTCGAAAGCAATGGATTTTCATCAGAATTCAAATATTCAATACCAGCAATGCGTTGTGTCCAATCATAAGTATAGCCAATTTCAGGTATTAAATCCGCATATGAATTGATGCCAAATCGACACAATAAATATTCAATTTTTGCATTGGGACATTTCAATCCAGTATCGGATGAAGAAAGTAGCTTAGCAAAAATATTGCTATCGTAGTTGATCACTGAATACTTTGGTTCAGTCGAATTCGGGGATGAAAGGTTATCGATTTTATAGGTGAGACCAACCAATTCTATTGATATAAAACATTGATTGTATTTTTAACATCAAAATCCAATTACATCCATACTTACCAAGTTTAGGAAAATAGGTAAAAACACATACGATCTGGTAATTATGATAACGAAAATTTACACATATTTTAATCGGATGAAACGTAAACAGTTTACTGTATCTTGAATAAAAATCATTCTTTGAATCTGAATGTAAAGTTTTATTTGTTGAATCTTCTTCCACTACATGGCGTTGTGAATGATATCGAGATTTTTTTGATTTCTTTCTATGTTCAGATTCATCTTCGTCATCTTCAAACTGCAATCCATTTTCTTCATCAATTTCTTTTTGCATACTATTCATTAAGAGTAATAAATTGGATTCATTTTTTTGTTTTGATTCAAATTCTTGAGCATCCTCAGCTGATCCTTGTATAGCAACGTTATAATCCAAATCGAAAGCACTTTTGTATGCACGAAGCTATAAAAATAAATTGGGGTAATTTAATTTATTAAAATTTCAAAACTAATTTTTTTAATTAGACATACTTGGATGTAGAGTACATAAAGTGGTTGTGGAAGGTATGATGTTAAGAGGTTAGAAGTATCGTAAACTTGTAATGGAACATTTAGATGTGATACTAATGGCTTGGCAGCTTCGATTATATTCTTCAATGTTGGATCGAATTGAGATAATGTTCGTTTTTTAGTTGTTATTTCCACTTCTAATTTGAATCGCGATTCTTCAGACATTTTCAATTGATTTTCCGCAGAGATACGTTGTTTAAGTTCCCAATCAAGTCTGGCTAAATGTAATTTGTATAAATCTTCACTTGAAGCAATATCTTTGTTTAAATCTACAGATGTACTCGAAACCACAAGTAAATGTTTTAGATCTTCAGGAAAGTGATCAGAAAGAAGAAATTTATCCTTGTCCAATAAATCCAACGATTCATCTTTTGAACGGAATGAAGCACAGGTTTTCTGTTCTTTTTGTAGATGCATAACTTCATATTGAATATTCTGCAATTGCAAATGAATTTGATCTACTTTATCTTTGCCCAATGATATTTTTTTGCGTGCTTCTTTTAAACGATATTTATCCAGACGATTAAGATTTTTCATCTCCATTAGACACATTAATCCTTTAACTTTAATGTCCGAAAGCGTTTTATCCATACCATTTGAATGGTCATTTTTAAGTTTACCTTTTGCTTTCTTATTTTCCAGAATTAATTTGATTAATTCTCTTAGATTAGAAGAAACAGTTTTAAATTTGTCAAAATCTTCATCAGATTTTTTATCCAAACTTGGATCAGCCAATGCTTCAATTTCTTCTTGATTATATCCATTATAAGTCAATTGATGGCATTCATTTGGATCTATTTTGATGGAATTTACAGTCGAGTTATGGATGGCTGATGATTTAGATGATTTGGAATTTGCAAAACTAATCAAATTAAATGCGTTATATATATATATAATTATTAGCCAAAATAGTTGGAAAGATTTCAACTTACTCTCGAGTAGTTCTTGTAGTATTATCATTTGGTGATGTTGTTGTACTTTTCATGCGTTTAATAAGATTGGTGCTTCCAGAACCACTGCCGACACCAGATCTTTTCGATGATCGATATTGTTCATTATTGGTGATTGTACCATGTCCATTGCTCTCCGAATGGTTTGATTGTCCTCGACTAGACGAATGATAATGGTAATCATTACGTTTATTTTCATGATCCAAATGTGACCGACTTGATCTCATGATGTAGTTATGGGAACGAAATATATAATAACATAAAAAAACAATTTTATAATGATAATTGAAAAATATGTTTGAAATAAAAATCCAGTTTCACGAGCGGCCAAATCTCCAGCTACATTGGTGAGTCCTATGGTGTTGAAATAGAAAAATAGTAGATGAAAATTTTTGAAATATTGAACCATTTTATCGATTGATTCTCAACTCAAAAATTGCTACTGCAAATTAATGTATAGAATTTTTTTATTTTATAGAAATTCATAATTTTTGAGTTCTTAAAAATTTTTTTGATAACTATTTCAATCAAATTTTAAAAATTTACCACTAAAACCAGGCTAGTTTTTAGCGCATGCGTAACTTAAGCAGCATGTGGCTTGTTCTGACTCAAAACATGTCTTTTTTGTTTTCCTTTTCCTTTCCGCGTTGGCCAGTGTTTTTTTGTGTATTCTGAATTGGCTGTTTTATTAATCTTTTTTTCCAAAATACAAAAGATTTTTTTTGATTAAAATTGACAAAATCAATTCCTTCTAATTATGGCTACTGTAAGTCAACCACCATCCGAAGAATTAGTGCTTAAAGGCACCCTAATTGGTCATTCAAATTGGGTTACTCAAATTGCTACCACCAAACAATATCCTGATACCATCTTGTCATCATCGCGTGACAAAACATTGATCGTCTGGAAATTGAACCATGATGAAGCTAATTATGGTTATCCATTGAAACGTTTACGTGGTCATGGTCATTTTATCACTGATGTAGTTTTGTCGCAAGACGGTCATTATGCTTTGTCTGGATCCTGGGACAAAACTCTTCGATTGTGGGACTTGAATCTTTGCAAAACTACCCGACGTTTTGAAGGACATACTAACGATGTTTTATCAGTAGCATTTTCTCCGGATAACCGACAGATCGTCAGTGGCTCGCGAGATAAATCGATTAAATTGTGGAATACTATCGCTCAATGCAAGTATTCGATCGAAGAAGCAAACGGCCATTCTGATTGGGTATCATGTGTACGATTTTCTCCATCCAGTACAAATCCAATCATCGTTAGTGCCGGTTGGGACCGTATGGTCAAGGTAATTTATCAAAATAAAAATTTGAGCAATCAAATTTATTTATGATTACATTTACCGATTATTGAATCTTCCATGTGACTCGAAATATGTTCTGCATTTCTGAAATATTTCGTTACTTTTTTAAAACTTGTTATAAAGATTTGATTAACTGAATTTCTTGTTTTTTTTTGTTGATCCAGGTTTGGAATCTAGCAAACTGTCGTCTTAAGACTGATCATATTGGTCATGTTGGATATTTGAACACTGTGACAGTTTCACCTGATGGTTCGTTATGCGCTTCTGGTGGAAAAGATTTCAAAGCCATGTTATGGGATCTTACTGAAGGCAAACATTTATATACATTGGATCATAACGATATCATCAATGCTTTATGTTTTTCACCGAACAAATATTGGCTCTGTGTTGCCACTGGTCCAACAATTAAAATATGGGATTTGGAAGGCAAAAATTTGGTCGATGAACTTAAACCTGAAATTTTGGCCAGTAAAGGCAAAGCACCACAATGTATTTCGTTGGCTTGGTCGCATGATGGTTCCACTTTGTTTGCTGGTTATACGGACAACCAAATTAGAGTATGGCAAGTTGTACCAGCTTCTATGTCATCTTCGGCTTAAGTTAAACAAAAAAATTTTTATGAATTGATTAATATGAAAACAATAAAAAATTTTTATTGAATGCAAAATTCGTCACATCTTTGGTTTTATTGGCCAATAACATTAATAAAGTAAATAATGATCAAAAATCAATTAACGTGTTTGTCAAATAGATAATTGCCATCGAAATAGAAAAAAAAATTTCAACATAAATCATGTGATTACCGGAAAATGTTATTTAGTATAGAAATAGTAATCAATGAAATGACCATTAAATTGAACGAGACGAACAGTTGTTTGGCGGTATTACATTGGTCACGGGTAACATCTCGGCAAGATTGAGTTATTTCACGATTTCGATCGCCCATAAGTATATCAACGGTAACTCTTGAATTATCAAAACATCGTTCCAAAACAACGCGACTCAAACAATCACGATAGCGAAACAAAGCACTGATTGAAGAATGGAAAAAAAATTTTATTTAGAAAAATTAAAAAATATATAATTCAAGGTAATACGAACCAGCATATACGACGTTGAACATCATTACTACTACGGCCATATCGTGCTTCACGTTGTCGCATTATCAAATGATCAAGACAAGAATTTTCGAATGGACGAACACGTTCAATACAAACGGTAACTGTACCGGTATGTATACCGGACAAGGCACCACCAACTCCAGCACGGTCAATTGTTTCGATTGGGAATGGTTGATTCTGTGTTTGATATGGTGAAACTGTAGCCATCATAGGATTGTTATTTGGATTTGGAATGTTTGGATATTGGCCATAAGGTGGTTGAGGATAATATCCACTTCCAGGATTTGGTGGATATGATAGATCAGTTCGACGTGAATATGAATCTGATATGGTTGTAATTTGTGATGGAAGGCATGACCAAGCTACATTATGAGCTTTATCGACAAAATATGTACCAAGTAAATCCAAATCAGTTGTATAACATGAACGGCTTTGAGATATGACACAATTGCGAAATGTTTCGAAAGCTTGACAAAGCTCATAACTAATCGGTTGATTATTGTTATGGCGAGCATAATTTCGTCCTTGATCGACTGTTCTTGACTTAAGATAATTATATTGATTTTCGCATTCAACAATTTCTCTACGTTTAAAACATTGAGCGTAACGCCAGCCTAAAATTATTATTAATTCATTCATTCAAGAGATGAATAAAAATTATTGAATATTGCAATTCTTGATAAGAATAAACAAAACCAACCAACCTTGATTTCTTTCACAATGTTGTACTAGGAAATTTCTAGCTTGTTGTATCAAATCTGATGATGCCTGAAATTGGTAGGAACCAATAGGATCGCATAATGGTGTATTTATAAGCAAATCATCGAAAGCCTGTCTCATCAACCTGTTGTTGTGATTGTAGCGGAAATTTAATAAAAAAAATGAGGACAAAAAAATATCAGACAGATCATTAACGAATTGGCAAAGTCATCATGACAAATATGAAGCTGACCGAAAATTTAAAAAAAACTAGATTAATATTCTCACTCACTTGCATTGATGATCATTTAATTGATCAGAGAGGTAGTTACGATTGTTGGTATAATTGTTGACTTGATAACTGTTTGTCAAACCCGGATATCTCGAATCGTAAGGTGGGTTTCCACTATTTACCGGTTGACTACGTTGCATTTCAACACGAATCATTTCTTTTGCTCGTTGATGAACATTTTTATCGCAAACTTGATTGCCATATTGTTGTCCGTATCCAAAGTTACCTCGGGCTGATGAAATTGTTAAAAGTGAGATAAAAACCGCCAAATAAACTGTAAAATATAACATTTTTACTGCTGATCAATTCAAATGTTTTATATTTGTATGACAAATAAAAAGGGATGAATAAAGATTATAACCGAATCGAAATTAAAATTATGTTTTTCTTTTGGTTATAAAGACACACTGTGTTTTACTCTGCACAAACTTTGTCGCAAAATGAAATGGACAATGGCCAAGAATGGACATTCCTTTTGATTTCAACGATATTTCTAGTTTTGAAACCGAAAAAAAATTTCAAGTTCATTTTTCTATTCTTGATAATGATGTCACCGAGCTAGGTGTGTCTATATAAAATGTCGCAATAATTTTATCCTGGAACAACAATGATGATTCATTTATCTTTATGGATTGTATATTTATTTATGAAAAAAAAAAAATCATTAATTATGTTTCAGTGAAGGTTAACTAATTAGTTGCACGCAAACCTAAAATTGAAGCTAAAGCTATTTTTTGTATGTTTTTGTCTGAATATTGTCAAATTGTAAATATTCAATCAAATTAAAAACGATGGAAACCAAAATAAACTTCCCATCATTGAGGTGCGACCAAAAAAAATTTTTTTTGTTAAATCTTTGCTTCCTTTATTCTATGCTTCGAACAAGCAAAACACTTTCGTAATCATTTGATTCAGAGAAGAACATTCAAGTGTTCAAATATACATTTTTTTTGATATTATCAGTGAACATCTGTACATCGAACAAACAATTCAATTCTGAAAGCATCATTATCACAATTTTATAATATTTGACATATCCGATAGTTTTTGGGCTTGTCAAGTAGGTGGAAAAAAAAGAGTCATTGAATCATCAGTCGAACAAAACTAGAAAGAGAAAGAGAAGAAATGGGGAATGGGTGAATAATGATTGATCAATTAGTTGACTCACTGGATTCAGTATTCATTGTCGAAATATTTTTTCAATAATTTTTTTTTACGAATAGATGAATTACATTAGTAGTGATGAACTAATCTAACAATATTCATCTGCAAATTAATGTTGATGAAAATATAATAATGTGATGATAATGATTGTAGAGAATATTTACACACATACACAAAACACGGAAACACAAAGTTGATTGTACGTGGAACAAACTGATAGTTTTTGCTATTAATTGCATCCGACAATCAAAAAAAAAAAAAAAATTATGATTACTTTCTCTTTCGATTTCTTTTGGTTTTTTTTGTGTAGACATAAAAATTCGGAAAGAAAAAAACAATTCGTTCACTATGACAATCGTTTCATGGACTGTTTCAGTTTATAGAAAAAAATTGACACAGTTTTTTTTGTTGTTGTTGTTGATGAATCAATATCAATATATATTATTTTTATATCGTTTGATTATTGTTGTTCTGGTTCAGTTGATGCTATTGAAGGAAAAGGTTATGGTTGCTGTCAAATGGTTGATTTGAATTTGGTTTCAATTTTATTTTTAAAAACATTCGATAATGAAATTTTGTTCTATTTTTGACAATCTTTCGATATGACGACGGTTCATCTACGTGGCGATTTGTGATATGCAAGGATACACGATTTTATACACTATATTAAATTCCATGGAGATTTGAATCAAAATATTAGTAATGGCAATATTTTGGTCAAAATCATATAACCTAGTTTCATGAAATTTTTTGCAATACAAACTAGACAATGAACTTAGAGACGTTGGTTTATTTTTTTTTCTTATTCTTCTTAATTTAAAGTTTCCTACTGTAGAAGGTTAAACATTATGTTGTTATGGAAATTCCGTTCAAAAAAAAAAAAAAAAATAAAATAACGAAAACACAACACAACACACACACACACATGCAAACGGGAGACGGTAATAAACAATTTTAAGATCGATATTCATACAATTTGATAAAAACTGATGAATGTCTTGGCTATGTGTTCATACAATATATTATAAATGATTAAGAATGAAATATAAAGAATTGTGAAAACACAAGCAGGTAAAATAATAATAATTATGAATAAAATAATCAATGAAGCAATCAATCAAATCATTTGTTTGTCGTTCGTGCATATACAAATATCAATTCATCAATGGACCCATAATTTTTAGCGTACAATCTTTATTAACAATAATATTATAATGACAGACTGACGATTATGGTGATGATGGTGACGATGAAAACAATGGAAATATATTGCATTTACTTTTACTTGATTCTATGATTGTTTGTATACTATGTTGTTGTTGTCAAATGAAATTTTATGTGATTGTAGACCAACCATAACGACAAACCATCGAAAGAAAAATTACAAGTAAAAAAAAATGATGATTTACTTCGATGACTTTTCAATTCCATTCACCAATAATGATGATGATGATGATGAATTGTAGATGCATAGATTGAATGTATGAATACTACCTACAACATTCAATAATGATAATAAATATTTTGAACGCGCCAAACACACACACACACACACACACACATACATAACTGAAAGATACAATAGTCATTCTGGTTTAGGACTTTCACATAAATTTTATTAATTTTATAATGAAAAAAAATGATGAAAATAAGCAAAATGGACTCGTTTTTTTGGACAAATGTGAAAAAATGCCTCATTTTCACAATGTCATCATTATTTTATTTGTGATAAAAGTAATATTAATTTTAATGATGATGAGTGATGCAAAATGAATTGAATTTTTTTTTTTTAAATGGTAAAAAATAAAAATCAATTATTCAAAATCGCCAAATTTTGTTCACAAATAAAGAGTAACGGGATTTAGCAGTATTTGAATCATTAGTTATTATGATTGTCTGATTAATTACGTCGGTAGCTAACAATGTAGACAATTTTGGTGGCACCAATTTGATTGAGGCAATAATTTCGAAATATTTTTCCATATCCATATCTTCGGGTAAATTGGAAAGAAATCGAGCCGAATCAATGAATTCTAGTTTGATAAGTTCATTCTTGAACATGGACAATAATCCTAGGGAAGCTCGAAATATGAATTCATTACCATCTCGCAAAAATATGTCCCATACACGGCTCACACAATCTAACGACAATGACCGGGCAAATAATGTATAGACCTGATACATAAAAAACAAATCTGTTGTCAACCCAATGTTGACGAAATGACTTGCTAAATCTGGTAATAACGAATGAAATTGTCGATCGTAATATGAGTAGATGATACGCATCTTATTTTGATTGAGACCATAGAATACCATTAAAAGTTCATTGTTAAGAAGATTTGCTAAAGAAGTAAACGCTGAGAATGTAGATTGTGAATTCAATAATAACATTGCAGCTAAAAATGACATTCCTTGACAGTATCCAATATCTGGCCGATAAACAACATAAGCAGATAGAACGTCACACAAAGATTTGTGATATGGACCCGTTTCCTGAAAAAGACCCAATTGTGGAAATGTTCGTAAAACATCCAATTTGATTAAAAAGGCAATATTTTCACCATCATCATCATCGCTATCTTTGGCTTTATCGGTGATAATACTCTGATCAGATGATGATGGACAGGAAGAAACTTCGGACGAATGCGAAGCGGATCGTCTATGTGTTTTATGATTACATGAAGTCATCGGTGATAAAGGATTGGAACATTTTCTTGAAATAAATTGCCGTACCCAAATTTTTTCTCTCGATCGACTTAGACAAATATGGAATAATTGTTCAGTTATGTGCAAATCGTTACCAATAACCAGATTCCAAACTTTTGGCCGAATCGATGAAGGAATGCCATTCCACCATAGATTTTGTACACGTTTAGTAATGAGTGATTGATGCCAACAAGGCAATATTTCTTCAGTCCAAATTTTGATTGCTTTTTGGATTTCATCTTCTTGTTGAGCCTTTCTTTTCACAAAGTCTTTTCGTAATTTTTTTCGTTGTAAATCTTTTGTTTGAGCATGTAGTAATATCTCTAGAAATTGTTCGCGGTGTTTTCGTTCTTCATCTTTACTTTTTGGTGGAAGATTTTGTGGTCTTTTAACGCAAACATTGGTTCCATTAGTGATATCATGTTTATATTCGCCATATATGTTTACATCATATAGGTTAAGATGTTTGGCCATATTAATCATTGAATCTATTTCACTCTGATGATCTTCCACATTATCTTTGATCATATAGTTGGCACATTTTTCATCATTATCTTTGAGATCATCATGATAGAATGTTTTCGCTGTTGAGCAACTATTCGTATGTATTTTGGTTGTACCATTGGATGGATTTTCATTACAATTTTTAAGACATAATTTTTTCGTTACTGGATCATAAACCAAATTTCGATCCACATGATGTAAAGCATCGCTCAATGAACAAGGATTCCTTGTAGCCACCGATGATCGTTGTTGCTGTTGATTTGATTGAATATCCATCCATCCACATTAATATAGATCTTTAAGTGATGATCATAATGTCCCGATAAATATTATAACGATATCGATTTGAAAGCTGAAAAATCAGAAATAAAATTAATGATGATTGATCACAATATTTGGACATTAAACATTAAACAAACATATAAAATGGTCAAAACAAAATATTTCAACTCATTCATGTGATTAACTGTATAAATAACATAACTGTGCATAAGTCTGAATTGTTCGTTCAAGTTCAACTCTCTTATTATGCTCAAATCAAATAGCATTTTGGGCAATGCATCGCAAAGCGAGTGGAAAAACCACTTCAAAACAATGAAAAATGTTTACAACTTATAATAGGACACGATTTTTTGTTCATTGTATTCAATCCTATATCTATACTGTTTGACCGAATTGAGTAAGTCAAACAGTAAAAAAAAAAATGGCCAAAGGTTATCGAGCATGCCTAGTTTTTGGGTCATTTTTGAAATCGATTATATGATGTTTGTGAAGAAAAAAATGATCGATATTTATTAATTCATATATTTTTTTCAAAAAGAAAAATTAGTAATTTTTTTAAATAGCCACACAGATCTTAATTAGAAATAACAACAAAGAAATTTTCTTCTTCAGTGACAAGTACAATTTTAATGTTTTTTCCATAATTTAGATTTTCACAAGTGTTTACGGTTAATAATCGTCATATTTTCGACCAAATTTAAAAATAATTGACCTACGAATTTAAAATGAAGTTTTTATAAAATGAATTAAAAATAAAATTATTACCCTAAAAATATGAATAAATTCTGAAAGAAGATTCCTAGTCCTGGCAATATGTTGACACCAGTCACAACATAGGCTCCAAATAAGATCCACAATGAAGCGATTAGACTGCCAAATCCAAGAACAAAACCAACAAACAGCCAAATATGAACGGTATAATCAGTCACACCATATGAATACATTTCAATGCGGCTTGAAGAGACTGAGTTAATCCTTTAAAGAAAAAATATTCAATGTTTTTAGAAATTTTTTCATTAGAAAAATCTTTTTTTTGTAATTTACATCAATAAAGAAATGGTGGCCAGTACTCCACAAATATGGTATGCATTATTGAAATCAGGATAATAATATCGCGAGGAAATGTCAATGATAATCCACCAACCGATGGCAAACTATTCAATAATAATAATAATATTTTTTGAATAAGAATTTTTAATTAAACTTACAAATGATCCAGCAACAATGCTGGTTATCTTATTACGATTCTCATCCTCTTGTAAACGTCCAAGACAATTTTCAAAACATGCAGACATGGTTATTATTTGATAAATAGATTTATAAAATTTTTTTTCACAAGAATTTCATAAAAGAAATTCAATGTATTTGTAGAATTTAAGTGATTCGAATGAAAAAAAAATTTGTCAAACAAACCAAAACAATAATATGACAACAATCGATGGGCTGCTTTTATTGCGGCAAACCCATTGATATGTATGTGTTATCCATAAAGTACGTTTTGAGTTGATGTTCATCGGCAATAAATTTTATTGTATCAATTTATAGTTAAATTAAATATCTATCTAAAACATCTGAATTGAAGCATTCATCTGGACAAAAATATGACGGTATCAACGGAAAAAATTGTACGAAGAAATCCTAAAGGGTGTAAAAATGAAGAATTTAACAATTGGCCTGAAGAACCATTTGATGAAATGGATTCGACGATAGCCGTACAACAATATATTCAACAAAAGATCCGAAAAGATCCATCGAATATTGAAGAAATTCTCAGCCCACCTAAGGGACAAGATTTGGGCACTTGGAAATATGAACATATGAGACAATTCTGTCTAGAATTGAACAAATTGACTGTAAAATTACAAGCCGAATGTAACCAGGAAAGTTGTTCCCAAATGACAGCTACTGAACAATGGATTTTTCTTTGTGCTGCCCATAAAGCTCCAAAAGAATGTCCAGCTATTGATTATACCCGTCATACATTGGACGGTGCTGCTGCATTACTCAATTCAAACAAATATTTTCCATCACGAGTTACCATAAAGGAAGCGTCGGTTGCCAAATTGGGAAGCGTTTGTCGTCGAGTGTATCGGATATTTTCTCATGCTTATTATCATCATAAAGCCATCTATGATGATTTTGAAAACGAATCATTCTTATGCAAACGTTTCTCTGTGTTTTCCATCAAATATGATCTTATGTCCATCGAAAATCTTATTGTTCCAATAGCTGGTCTGGATTTTAATGATATTAAAAAAGTCAATTCGATATCAGCTACTACATGTGAAACGGCACCAGGTATGGAAATCTCAGTAGGAACTACAGTTTTCACAACAGTGGCCGCTAATAATGACAATTTCAATGCTGCAACAGTATTACGTAGCACTTCAGATTCTTCGGAAGCTTAAAATTCATATGAACGCCCAAAATCACCAACATCACTTTTTCATTTGCTTTTGAATTATAACAAAATTCATGTTTTTTGCCATTGACTTGGATAACATACATCCTAATTATATTATTAATTTATTTAAAATGATTAGAAGAAAGATACAATATATGATCAAAATTATACAAAATAATTGATAAAAATTAGATAAATGGTCATTTGTAATTAAATTCAGTTAAAAACAAATCAATATGGGTATGAGCCTTGAAGCTGTCCTGGATTTGGTGTCGAAAGTTGCCGTTGAAGCTGAGTCATTGGTGCCCTTGGATGATTTTGTCCCATTTGATTACCTTGCCAATTATTCATCATTTGCTGTTGTTGAGGAGGTGGTTGTGGCTGTTGTGTTTGTTGTTGAGCTTGTGGTGGAACTTGATGTCCTCCAAAGTTGGTAAATTGAGATCTACATATCAAATTATAATTAAAAATTTATAAACATTCTTTCCAGAAACATTATTACTAACCTTTGTTGCATGAATTGTCCTTGATTCTGTTGTTGTGAATTCATTGCCATTTGTGGTCTCATCATCATATTTTGTTGCTGTGAATTTGATGTTGGCTGCTGGTAATTTTGATTGGCTGATATTGACATTGAACTATCCATTGATTGCATATTGTTATTGAATTGTACGTTCTGGACAGAAGGTGGTGGTCTAAAATTTGATGATTGTTGCATATGGTGATGCATAGGAGCAGGATTAATTTGATTTAATTGTTGTTGAGTTGGTGGTGGTGGTGGCTGTTGTTGTTGCTGTTGTTGGAACATATTATTTTGATTGGTCATCGATTGATTATTTTGGGGTTGAGGTCCTTGTGATCTGATTTGAGTTTTTTGCATCATCGATGGCATCTGATGACGAGATGAAAACATTTGGCCAGTTGGTTGTTGATTATTCATCATTGGACCGGAATTGACTACATTTGTCACTGATGGTTCATTTTGATTCATATTGAATTGATTAGGATTCGGATGTCGATGATGGAGCATTGCACGTAATCGTTCTTTTGGTTGGATCACTTGTCCCTGAAATCGCTGATTAGGCGCCTGCTGTGGAATCATCATTGAAGATCCTGTTTGATTAGGGCCAGGGCCTGATCCTGATTGATGATAGAATGATTGATTGTTGGAATTCATGTTAGATTGTTGTGAATTTTGATTTTGATAGTTCCAATTGGTGGCGGCATTCTGATTAGAATTGACTTGATTAGAGTTATAGTTATCGAAAGAATTCGACATTCGTACAGGAGGAGTGGGCTGATTTGGCATTGGGGCAATATTGACTGCTTGTTGATTTTTTGCATTTCGTCGTTTTCGAGTAGCTTTAGGTTTTTTAGGCGCTTGTGCTCTAGTATTTACAGTCGGCATCGGTGGCATTGGCATGTTACTTGGAGTCATTGATGGTCTCAAACCGGGAATCGTTCCAGGACCAGGCATAGAACGGCCAAGATTTGGCTGACCTGATGGTGGTGTATCCATCATGTCCATTTGCATAGGCATCATTGATGAATTATTCAATGATGCCATCATCATAGGATGATTTTGTGGATTCATATGCGAAGTTGGTTCATTGCTGCTACTGTTCATCATATGAGGAGGCTGTTGTGTAGGAACTTGTTGTACGATTGGAGATGAATGCATTACATTCGGTGGTAAAGTTGTACCATTGGGACCGGTAGGACCTTGTATTGCACCATGAAGTATGTTATTCGAGCTCATTGCAATCGGATTCATGTGATACTGGAAACCACCAGGGCCCATATTACTAGGCGGTCCTTGATTAGAATGTGGCGGTCCTTGATGAAGTTGATGATGCATTGTGCTTTGATGTGAAGGATTAAAAGAATGAGACTGTGGTGGTATATTGTTCATAAGAGCCGGCGGAGGTGCTGGTCCAGTTGCTTGACCAACAGAAGATATATTAGATCCGTTTGGCGCTATTACCGGATGAGCTTGATTGTAGCCAAGTTGTGGTGGTGGCAATGGATTCTGAGACATGATCGGTTGTGATGATACTTGTGGTTGTGTTTGCAATTGTGGTGGTTCATCTTCAGGTGGTACAGGTGGTGATTCTATATAGAATGAAGAAGCAGGGTCTAAAATAATGAAATAAAATTAGAATCTTTTTAAAAAACAAAAAACATATCAAATGAAATCGGCTTACATATATCATGATCATGGCGAGCAAGAAGACAGAAATTCTCTTCCATTCGTAAAGGTTTACGTTCCATTTTTATGGCTCCAAACCATGTCCAACTTAATGGAACATAATTTTTAACGCCTTCAATCAGATCCCATGGTGAAAGCTTCTGTTTTTCAGCTGCTTGAAAGCCTTGTTTCTTATCAATAGAATCGAATCCGGCTATTTTGTTTCCTTTGGTATCGACCAAAGAACCCATAGCTTCACATGCTATCACTTCAGCTTGATGTTTAACCAATGGTAATAATTGTTTAGCCATTCGAACTCCTAGTCCGATTCTTTCAACATTGAGCTCTTTTTTCAATTTTTTAATCAAATTTTGATTTAGTTTTTTTGTTTCTTCACGTTGTTCTGGTAAAACATTTGATGCATGTGAATAATGCATCAACGATGTAAGCATATCCAATACAGTGGAAAAATTCACATAATTAATATGTGGATCAACAATAGTATAGCTGATCAATTGTGCTAATAAAACTACCCAATCATTGGTCAATGATGTTGATGATTTGATTGTTTCGAATATTGCGCCAACTAAACTAAGCCGAAGTTGGAGTCCTTCTTGAATGAAACTTTTCGATCGAACATCATCACTTAATTTCTCATTAATGCATTGTAACAATTGTGAATGCATTGATTTTAGAATGAGTTCTTTATGATCTTCTTTTGAATTCAAACATTTCAGTAATAAAGACACGAAAGGCTGATATGACAACAGTGTTGTTGTTGGATTCTGATTGTTCAATGTAATTCCGGCAAGATTATTTGAATTTTTGAATCCTTGAAATCCAAATTTGCTTTTTGAGCTCATTGAACCAGATTGATTTTGAGAATATAGAATCCAATTCGATGAATCGAACATATTGGCAGCAAAACGTAGAATTTTACTTTGAAGTGGCAGCTTCGAAATTAATGGTTTTAATAGCCATATTCGTTCATTGGAATTATTATTATTATTATTATTACCAAAAGTCAACATATTATTCTTCATGTTGGAACTATTCGATGTGAAAATGGTTAGATTTTTGCTATTCAAAACAGGTTCCATTTGACATGATTGCTGAAAGTAATCCATTATGGCTGGCGCTAACGTATCTAACCATTCATAATTACTTTGTGGCGATAGTGAATTGATGGCAAGATTTTCATATATTAAATGCAACTGTAACCATGAGATTCGTAACGACCATTCGTCAAGATTTTGAAATATATGAATTATTTGTTTTGAATCAATTTTTTCATTAATATTCACTGGAGGTGGCATGATTTGTTTGTGATAACATATCATATTGAGCAAACATTGAGAATCTTCATATGAGATTTTTTTGTCAAATAATTTTTTTACTGAATTTGGTTGAATCATGAAACCACGTAGACATCGATCATGTACCCAATCCTGCAGACAAACCTGACGTAATACGTATTTGGCAAAATCAGAAAGCGATGGTTTTTCTGTTGAATCTATTTTGGATTTAGCTATCTGACTTAAATAGGTTCTATCGCTGAATTCATCTTCATTGTTCATAGGTTTGTAAAACGAATCAAAATCTGATTTATCAGATTTAAAATTTTTCTCGCAACCTTTTTTCTCTTGAGTCCCTGATATAAGCCAATAACAAAAAAAACATTGATTAAAAACTATTTAGAAATATAGATCAACTTACCAAGTCTCATGATAGCTTTCAAAAGTGTAAGAATCAATTCAAGTTGTAATGAATTTAGTGCTCCACCAAGAAGATAACGATCGCAAGCATATTTGATATTGAATGGAGATTTTTGACCTGAACCTAAGGTGGGTGCTACTGTTGAAAGGCCAAGTGGACCAGGGCTAGTCAATGAGTAACGTGATGATGATGCAAACGAAGAATTCATGGCTGAATTTGAAGCAGCTAATGGTGAATTATAATATTTGAATAAATAAAGTATGAGATGACAACAAAGTCTAGCTTTTCGTTCAGTTTCTTCTCCACTTTCGACCGTTGGTATCAGAAGTGAGCCAATAAAAACACGATAAATCAAATCTACGAGACTGAAACATCGACGTGCCACCAGAATTGAAACGAAAACAGCAAGATTGTCATAGATACTACGATCACCAATGTTGATTTGTGTAAGTAACGATATGTAATCATTCATACATTTTGGATTGCATAAAGCTTGAATAGCGTCGAACCATTCATTCGATAGTAGCCAACATGAAGCAGTTAATTCGGCACAAAGTACAGACAATTCGTTCAGATAATCCATATCATTTGCTTCGGTTATACACCGAATGGCATTGAACACTAATGAATATCGATCTGATGCATTTTCATTCAATTGCCGAATATGAATTGAATCAACTTTTTCTCTTGGATTCTTCAAATATTGCATCATGACACAAGGATGGTTTAACGATCCTTTTGTGTTATCATCACGGATAGCAATCATGGTTTTGATTTTTTGTGAAATTGGACTGATTATATCTTGATATTTCTTCAATACATAAGCACAAGACGAATATAGATCATCAATATAGAAGAAAATACAACGTTCGGCTGATGAACAATCATTAGGTGTACTAACATTACGAACTAATTTCCATAATCCATCAAATATTTGATAGATATCTTCGGTGGATGCAACTACATAATTATGATAACGATTAAGTACGCCAACAATGTATAATCCAATCGATGTACAATATGGCCGAGCGAGTAATGGACATTTTTGCTTCAAAACACTTTCGACTTCAACCAATTCTCGAAGCATCTGGACAATAAATTCCACTAAACCATTAACATTTAATGCTATTTCCATGAGATCGAAAAGAAATGCAATCGATTCGATCAATGGCAAGTGATTGGCGCTGCCAACGACAACACCATTTAACATTTCCAATACTGTGCTGGCACATGTATTTGTAACAACATGTTGATCGAAAATGGATAGATTTTGAAATTTTGCAATAGCATTTTCAAAATTGAATCCTTCTTTGATAACATGTTTTTTTACTTTGCCATTGTCATTGATGTCTAATGAACTTTTTCGATTGAATAATTTTTGAATTTCTTTTGTGACTTTTTTTACGATATGTCGAGCTTCATCTTTTGTTTTACTGACGCCATATAAAAGTATATGTCGTTGATTACATTCATGCATAAATGATTCTTCTTGAGGTAAAGGGAAATGCAATGTATACAGTAAATGTCTTGATGTGGCATTGATTTGTTCGGATAATTGATTTTTATTGTTATTGGTAAGATCAGATAATGATGTTGAATTAGTGTTCACCGAATTTGGACCATTAGTTTCATCTTCTTTATCAGATTCCATTGCATCAGGAAGTAGTATATCATTTTGATCATCTTTACTTTGTTGTCCGGCTTTAATATTCTGTAGAATTTTATCTAGATCTTCATCCAATTTATCTTCATCTTCATTGATTGAAAACATGTTCGAAACTAATTGTTCATTGCTATTAAGATTTGAATTGTTTGATAATGGATCAAACATTGGCAGTGAAGATGATGATGTACTTTTATGAAGTGGATTCATCAATCCACCATTTGAAACCGTTTCCATGTTTGGTGGTAATAATCCTGTCAGCGAATCTTCATTCGTATTTTTGATTGGATGGTTCGAATTTGATGAAGGAATTAATGAAATGTTTGGTGGATTAACAAAATGACCTCGCGATATCAATGTTCGCATATAAACATCATGCGAGAATACATCATGGCGAATTAGTTCGGCAAATAACAAAACCAAATTATGAAAAGCTTGTTTGTTATCAGACGAACAATTATTGTTGGGAAATGCGTTGGTGGAAAAATATATTCCTAATGTTTTATCTTCAGCCACTGGTGCATATTGATCGAGAAATTCGAACAGGACATTTTGATACAAAGGAATGTTATCGTTATTAATAATTGATGTTGATTTATTTTCATTATTATTCCATCCATTGGTTAATTCTTTGTTATCAGAATCAACATGATTTTTGTTGATTTCGGCATTTTCAACTTCATTATTGAAATTATCCTTTTCCTGTAGTATCTCATTTTGTCTTCTTTCGAGCAATTTTGCCACTATTCTGGAACGATATTCACCCAATCGTTTAGTTGTAACAGCCCATTCACAAAGCAGTTTCACAACAGCAACATCTTCAGCAATAATTTCTTGTATTGATTTGTTTGCCGTTGAATTGACACGATTACGTTCGTTGTGTGAGCCATAAGAATTATCACCATCGAAATGAATTGTAGTATTGAAGATTATATTGTAAAGTGAATCCAACGGGTTAGAGGAGGTTACTTTGTCAAATGAATGTTTATCGATTGAATCTAAAACGTCGAGCAAACGATTGACAACATTACCAACGGAATCCGGAGAGGAAACAGCTTCGAACGTTCTGAAGAACCACCTTTTTTCTGAATTTGCACTACGATGACGAATTAAATTTTCTGAACTTCTAATTCTTTCACGCAAATGCTTAACATTTTCTGTCGATTGGATTGGCAAATTCGATGGTTCACATGGAAGATAATCTAAAGGAGAACCATGTAGCAAAGCTGTTTTACTGACCGAATTCGAATTATCAAGGAATGATGAACTGTCGAAATTATGCCATACTAATGCAGTAGGACATTCAATGGTTATGACTTGTATAACACAAGATAAAGCGAGTAAAAGTTCCTGAAATTTTGAACAAGCGATTATATCTTTGAAACATGAGATCAACATCACACTGTCGGTTGATTCATTTAATGACGATTTGGAATTTGTATTGAAATTCGAAGAGCTAATTTTATCAGGATCTTTATGGTCGTTTACATTTTCTTTATCCGTATCCACACTGGATTCACTTGATACATGAGCCACTAATTGGCTAATCTTTTTGGCACAATGGAATGCAAGATGACGGGACAGAAATTCTGAATGAATAAATTCATTAACATATTGAACCAACATTGGAGCAATCAATGTCAACAACGGATCATCTATTGATTTGATCTTTTCAAATAATTCCAATAGCCAAAAAAGGAAATCATGTCGATCTAATAGACCTTCTTCGTATAGTGAACGAGCTAATCGTGTATAATATTCCCATTGATTTAAAAGTTCTTTGATTTTTATTGGTGGTGAATTCAAAGAATTGTTCATCGATGAAAATGTACTTCCAGCATTATTCATATTTGGATTTGTAGATTCCATAATCTTCATATAATTTTCTTTAAGTGTTTTACATAAACTGGCAGTCCATTCCTGGGATGGATCAGGCATTTGATTTCGTTTTTTCGACTTGTTATTCGATTCGGAAATTGCCATCTGATGAGCATTCGAAACTTTCAGGAACCATTGTGCTTTGATCATCGGTACCGAATATTCATATAGCCAAACAAAAATTTCTTCTTTTTTATTGAAAAATGGAACTTTTTTCGAAAGATGTGCTAATGATTTTGTATTGGAAGCCAAATCTTTGAACCAACCTTCAACATAAGGTTTTGTTTTGGCTGTAACATATAATGCACTATCTTTGTTAACTACATGTTTCTTTTTACTCGTATCGCTGAACGTATTTAATTCGTGCTTTTTGGCTAAAATGGCGCTGAAATATTCACCAAACCTACTCGTATTAATATTTGCATTTCTTTCTGTTCCATATTCGTGTTCATCTTGCAATGTTCGATTGCTATAGCCTTGTTTAACGAATTGTTGTGTTAATTCATCCTATTAATATTCAGACAAATGAAGATTCTTATTAATAGAATTTTTTTCAAATAGAATTACCTCTTTTTGTTTTGGATCCTGTGGATAAACATCCGGTGGGCCTAATCTCGGTTTTTTCAAAGGCCTTTTTTCATAAAGATGTGTTGATATCAACACGGTTGACATTTTTCTCAATACTATTCAAATTATACTAATTTTAATTGAAAATTTCTCATCATTTTTAAATGTTTAAAAAATCACTTTAGGAAAAATTTATTAAAAACCAATGATATGCGATGCATTTATACTTTTTCTACATACAGAATCGGCGGCTATTAATAAAACGGGACAAAAATTCAGATGTTCAACAATATATATACAAAAATATATTTACTCATTTCGTTTACACACACACACACAAATTAAGCTAAGCTGCCTGTGAACAGTACAAATATATAAATGTCAGGGTAAAAAGGATCGTTCATAAAGTATAGGGCGTAGAATTTGTAAATATTTTTTTTATTTTTATTTAATTTTTAGCTTATTAAAATTAAAAAAGAAAAGGTTTTCACAAACAAAAACAATATATAGACAACAACAGTTGGTTTTCAAAATCAAAAATAAGAATCACAATTATTCAGATAATAAAACTACAGGGTTTTTGTTGCTTGATTTTGTTTTTATCGAATCTTTATCATCATCATTGATCACGGATAATTGGCTCAATTGTTCAATCAAATCGCTAGTTTGTTCGCTACGATTAGCATTTGTTAATTTTTCTCCTGATTTCTCAACATCATCTATTTCTTTTAGAATTTCTTCCAATTCTAGTTCGGCTTCCAACTCTAATTGAGTAGATTCTTGTATAGGTCGATTCAATTCTTCGTTTATCATTGATTGATTATTGAGAATATCATCCATTTGGGACATAACGTTTTCTACATCTTCTATTTTGGCTGAATTCTTTTTCAGTACATCGTTGGCCATCTGGAAAGTTTTTATCATCAATTGATGTGAACCAGTTTCCAGTAATTGTGAACATAAAATTTCAATATTGTCGATTTGTAAATCTTTTTCTTTCACACGATTTTCCAAACGTTTTTTCCGTTTTAGTAATAATAAAGCTTTTTCTTTATTACCATTTGTGATGGATACATGCACTTCATCATTAAGCGTTTTCATTCTTTTTTCCATATTGCTTGCCTCTTTTTCCAAAATTTCTTTAACCATTTCAAGTTTGGCCAGAGTTATATCTGCATCTTTGGTCTGGATATTATTTGTAAATTTGATAATTTTAAAGCCTGCATCTTCATATATTTTGATTTTATTTTGCGATTCAAGATAAATTAGCACCATATTCATAGAAAATTCATCCAATTTTTTTTCATCAAATACATTTTTGTTGACCATATTTATAAATTTTGAATAACTCATGCAAGTAGTTTCAATGTTTTTGATATAAGATTCTATGCTTTCCGAAATGATTTGAATAGTTTCGACATTGATAAGACGATAATCTTGATGAATAGACAAAATTTTATCATCGTTGGAGTGACCATCATCATCTTTTGTTGATAACCAATTCCAACCAAAGGTAATTGGTTTCATGATCAATGAGTTCAGGGCCCAATTAGCTAATAAACTTGTTCTATTTGATTCTGAACATTTTTTTTGATTGACAATATCGTCTTTAAATAGGATTTTATTTTGTCGTTTCATATGTGAGACCACTAGCTTTATGCAGTCTAAATGTGGTAATCTTTCATCACGATTAAAATTTTGACGAATTTCATCAATTGTGAACACAACTTTACGATCGAAAAGGCACCATTTGTTGATCAAATTAATCCAAAAGTTCATTTTCAAATCCCAGCCTTCAGGATTAATTTCACGAATTCGAAATGGATGAAATAAAACATCCATTCTTTTATCATCATTCCAACAATCGGGTAAGTATGGTCTTTCGATAAAATCGGCACTATTATCGATAATTTTTACAGGTGATTTAATGCTACGATTGAATTTATCCATCCTAGTCGTATAAAAAATGATGATGACAATAAAAAAAAACTTAACAACAAAAATCAAAACATCAGAATCAAACCAAATAGAAAAAAAATAAATATAAAAAGGAGTGATGTTGTCAATGCTGCTGTGCAATACATGCAAAAAAATAAACATATTTTCAAGTGTATGCAAAACTCGCTACCAGATGGCATTATTATTTAAAAATGAAAAAAAAACATTTTTATATTTTCACAATAAGAATGACACATTTCAACAAAAAAAAAATGTATAAATTGTTTGGTTGAACGATTTAATAATGGTCAAGAAAAATAATGAATGAATGAAAACCATTTTGGGTATTTGTGTTTTTATGTCTCAACAACAAACGTTCTCTTTCGTTATAGAGATAAAATAAAACAATTCCAGAAACAATATTTGCTCAAGTAATTTGATATTGTAATTTTTTCCAATTGAACTTGGTATACTGACTTTTTTTCCGTTTTCATTCTTTGTGTTTGTGGTACCAACAACACACATGAATAATAAATCAATTTAAAATTTTAAACAAAAGATTAAAATTTTACCAAATTAACCATGAAAAAAAACCGGAAAACTTGGTCAAATTACAAAAATTTTAATTATAATCCATGATGATTTGGATTATGTTGTTTTTAATTTAATTTTCTATCAAAAATCATAATATCAACAATTATAACGGTCAAGTAAGTGATTTGTACAATAACTGACATCCATTTTAATTTTTTTTTCTATTTTCCTTTACATACGAAAATAATAACCCACAAAAACCACTAATGGTAATGACAGTGATGTGGTGTGATCGCAATGGATTGTTATATTCATAGATTATTTAATGTAATCGAGGTAAGAAAATAAATAAATTCAAATATAAAACATCACTTCTCATATCACAACATTTTTTTTCAAATTTGATTCGTTCCCACGATTTCCACAAAATATGAGAAACGATCATCATCACCACCATACACACATAAACGTTTGGGGATTTTGGACCACACGACGATTGCGGTTATATAACATATGAATAATAATCAATGAACGGTTCACAACCATCAACAACAACAACAACAACAAAGTCAAATGGTAATACGGGAAAAAAATATTTACAATATTACGGGATTGTATGTATGTAACATTATATTAATCGGATATGATATAAACTAGGTTCATGATGAAACATGAACGCTGTGTGAGTATGATTGTTCGATTGTTGATGATGAGAATATGTTTTTTTTGGTCTCTTTTTGACCAGAAAAGGAAAAAAATTTCAACATAAGGGTTTTTTTTTGCAAACATTGACATGGTCTCAATGGAACAATTAACACTTACTCGACTTACTTATTTATTATTATTATTTCATTTCATTAAGTTTTTTTTTCTTTTCTTTTTTTTTCACCGAATGGTTTATTCATTTGACAATATACGAAATGGTCAATGAAAATTGTGTAAAACAGTGAGATAGAGAGGGTGTGTGGATGGTCTATAGTAGTTTTATAAAGAGTGTATATATCGGATTATGTATAAATTATTATCGCTGGTCATTCATTCTTCACCAAAAAATAAAATCGCCCATTTGCCGGCAACCAAAATGAATTGATTTTTTATTACTTTTTAAATGAATATCAATATATGCTTATTTCTTTCTTTTTTTCATTCTATTATTAGTAGCCGTAAACTATTTTTTTTATTTGAATCACACAGTCTCAAAAGTTATTGATTTGAATTTTTTTCCGTTGTTTATCGAATTATGTGGCCCCTTTATTTTTGATATTTATCATTATTATTATTATTATTATTGTTATATTGTTGGTTATTACACGTGAATAGACGAATAAATGGTTGATGAAGAAGAAAAAAATGAGAAATTCACACACACACACACACACAATGGTAGGTGTGATGAGAGTTTTCAATGGTTCCACAGTAGTATTGTATAGTTCCATAATAAAAACAACATACCATGATACACCATTGATTTGATTTTTTTTTTTTTTTGACTTTTTCAAATATGTCCCAAAGTCGAATGTCGGTTCAGACTAAAAAAAAAAAAATAAAATCCAGACGTTACTAGTCGCCAAAGGGAAGTAGTTCAAAAAATGAAGGTAACAATAAACAACAATCACCAAGAAGAAAAAAAGTCCAAGTCCATTAAGATGATTTTTCATTCTAACAGCAGCAACAACAACAACAACAACTACAACGATAAGTGCGAACAACAGTAAGTTTTTTTTTGAAAAATGGTAAATAATTATGAATTGATCTATTGTACGATGAAGTGTTGTTGTTCACTTTAATGTTTTTGAATTTTTTTTTGTTGCAGTTCTTTTTGATCTGTGGCTGCTGTTGATGATGATGATGATGATGATAAAACTTCATATTATAGAATGTCATTTTGGTAATAAAAACAAGAGCGATTTTGAGTATTGGTATCAGACAACGAAAAAATTTGACCAGAAAAAAAACGGTGGACAAACAATAATAACAACAACAACAACAAAAATGTCTCAAATGAAGTGGCCATAATGGCCTTTGGGACAAATGGTAATACCGGTGCTGGTGTATACAACAACAACAACAACAACAACTACGACGATGACAACGACAACGACTACAACCCCGAACTTGTGACAAAGAGAAAAAAAAACTCCTGCAAACACAAACACGAGTAATGAAAAGCTGTCAATGAGAAATGAATTGAATCGAATACACAATTTTTGAATTCTATTCAATGCAATTCAATTCAATTCAATTCATATGAATGAATGAATGATTTTTTGAAAAATGAATGAAACAAAGTCAAGTACTCAGTATATACAAAGATGAGTGAATATATAAAAATTAATGCGTGAACACACACTCATACTCAAACTCTGATAGAAAGAAGTAATCTCCACACATATTAAATTTAAATAAAAAAAAATGCCAAAGAAAAAAAAATTCATAGATCAGAAAAAAAAGAAAACAGACCCAGACCATATTGATATCCAATTTGGATCATTTTTCTTTCTTTATATTTTCATTGCCGCCACTGTGTGGTTCCATTTATATTAACAACAATGGTAGAACAAAAAGTCAATCAAAGCTGAAGGACTTATTATTATTATTTAAAGAAAAATGGCTACCATTATAGTAAACACACACACACACACACACACATTGTAGGTGTCAAGTAGGCAAACACCATATATCTATGATGATAATACAATGGTCTCTGTCATTGATCCAAAAAGGTACAAACATATAATATAATAATACATCGTACAATCCAATAGATTTGACTTTTTTGTGAATTGTTCGATCATCTTTATTGTTGTTGTTGTTGTTGTTGTTCAGTTATCATCTATTGTTTTCATCATCGTCAACGTTTGTTCATTTTTTTTTGTTGCCGTCGTGACAAAGTTGTCGTCGTCATTGTCGTCGAATAGATATAGTCAATTTTATTCACTTAGACACACACACACACACAAACACACCCACCTCCCAACAACAGCAAATTCACAATTTTTTTTTCATTTTACTTTTCACTATATTCATTACATTATTCATCTATATCAAACTTCTTATATTACATGACTAACGACAAGATGAAAAAAAAACCGATATATGAATGAAAATTGTTATGATATGAATCAGTGTGAACATTTTCGACAATATTATATTCAACATTTAATTCCAATGATTGTAACTTTGTAACTAACGATATATGGGGAATATCCCATTACTCAGTTGTCTCAAATATATCAGATATTTATACTTACTGAGTCGATGAGCAATCATAATCAAATGGTAAAAAAAAATCAAACAAGAAAATAAATAGATTTAGTATTTGTCAGGTCAGGTAAAAAAATTTTTTTTTTTTTTTTTTTTGAAAAAGAAGAAAATTCAAAATTGATTGTAAAAAGTGGTTGACATGTCACACCATTTGTGTTATTTGTGAATGTTTTTTTTTTCTCTCTCCTTATCTCACTTATTCAGGCAATAAGAATGGTTGACATCGAAAAAAAATTGAACTTCCTTTAAAATGGTAAAAGTATTATTGCTGAAATTTTTCAATATTTTTTGTTGTTGTTGTTGTTGTTGTAGTGTTTTTGTTTTGTTTGATGATTGCAGATAGGAATGGTAAAGGTAAACATTTTGATTTGAATTTTAAAATGCCATAGGCTCTTTATTTATTTTTTTTCTCTCTTTCTCTCTTTTTATATTGATTTGACAAGGCAAAAATGTACAAGATATTAAAAAATGAGGAGGATGCGATTAATCTTGGGTAAAACTTCCGGAATAATGAACGACAAATTTAAATTTTTAAAAAAGTTTCTCTCTTTTTTTGGAAAAAAATCGGAAATCGGATGACACCATCATCATCATTATCAATGTAATCTATAAAAGATATAAATTACTTATATTATAAACGATAACAAAACAACAACAACAACATATCATTTTTTACCTCATAAAGCCCATTTGGAACAACACTAAAAAAAAAAAAAATAATTCGTGATAATAATAATGGACAAAAGCACCTTGATCAAGTAATTTATAAATAATCTTGAAAAATCTTTCATTTCATTTCATTTTTTTTTTCCACTAACAATTCAAACCAAAGTAGGATTCGAATACAACCGTCGGCATTAATTTATTGAAATCTGTGAATGACAATAACAATAACCAAAAAAAAATGACACTAGTTTTTTTTAGGTAATAAATTATTCTCATTTTTCACATTACGACAACATCGAACAACAACAACAACAACAACAATAAGCGATGGGGACAAGATCACCAAAGATCAGACAACAATAGATTCGTTATATTATGTTCGACAAACTTATTGTATATATACTTACTACTTGAACAACAACTACAACAATAACAACAACAACAACAACAACAAAACCAAAGTTTTAAAAAGTACCTTTTTTATATCTTTCATTATCATGTTGATAATGAACTGGTGTCTATACGGTTCTACGGTTTGTGGCCAAATAATAATAATTTCATTATAATCCATTCTTTATGATAACCGTTTACTTACTTGATTGATGTTTATTTGTGATACATAATCATTGTATATATCCAATGTTTGGGTTCATGGTAAATAATTTTTAATTAGCAACATTTCATCGATGACAACAACAACAACAACAAAAACATTGTCAATTGTGAGTGAATAAAAAAATGGGGCGTGTTTGTATTTTTTTTATGCTTTTTTGTTGTTATTTAAAGATAAAATATAGGTGGTATATATATATTAATCAATAAGGTAATAACCACCATCATCATCATCATCTACGATGAACATTTATTTATTGTTCTTTCGGGAAAAAAAAGCTGATTTAATTTTTTTTTTTTTTTGATATATGAAGCGAAGTAAATTGCAAATATAACAATAGCTGATGTCATCGTCTTTTATACATAGATGGTTGTTCATTCACAGTTTGCCTCGAGGACTATAGTCTTTTTTCTCTCTCTCTTTCTCTCTTTCTCTTTTTCCACTTACAAAACTTATCAACAGGCATTGAGGATAATTTATCAATAAATGAAAATCTTTCTATAAAAAAAACATGTTTATTGTTTATTGATTGAATACTATTATATACTATTATCTCATTTTGGTAAAGCAAAAAAAAAATCACATTCAACCATCATCAACAAAAATCATGGTAATGAATATCCGCAATATTGTTTATTCTTTATTGTTGTTGTGGTATTCATTTATATGAACATCCGATAAAAAAAAGTCAAGTAAACAACAATAATAATACAAATACAAATGAATAAATAACTACTTTTATATTGTGTCAACGATCATCGATTTTGTTTTTGTTTGGTTGTTGTTATTTTGATTCTTTAGTGGAACGGATGAGCTTTTAACCTAAAAGTAGAGTGTTTCTTTTTTTTCCTCTATATTCATTTCGGTGAGCGCCAATCAACCGTATTTAATAAGATTAACCATGATCCATACCACACACACACATACACGCTGATATACAATAGTGACAACCAGGCTATTGTAATAATGTGTGCTTCATTTTGTTCTCTTTTTTTTTTTTTTTTTGATTTGATTCCAATGAATAACCAC